CATTAAAATATTATATTTAAAGATCGAATTCCTATTTCGCCTATAAAAAGTCGATGAGTTCTGATAATGAGTAAATCATTGCTCGATTAGAATTGGAGTGGGTTGGCCAGAGAGGGATCCGTTCCCAATGGTGGCAAGTTTGTGGTTGTATGTGGTTTTCTGCTTCCATAAAAAGAAAGGCATAACTTTAATTGAGAAGGTTCGAAATAGCTACACCAGGGAAATTCTGGTCCGTCAAGGTGGCTTGGCTTTTTGTGTGCTATACACCAGAGTGCGGAATAAGGAGCAATACAAGGTCTTCCTTCTCTTCAGTCTGGACGGACCTTTTTTGACTCATGCATGATTTACAATCTCAGCGACAGGTATGCGGTTAGAATTTCTCCGTTCTACAGCCTAATCCCTTCTATCGCCAGAGGCGGTCTGCTCAAAATGTCCCTTCCCAGAGCTAAAACTGCCAGCGAAACTTTTTTACGGGTAGGACAGATCTTGCACTCTGCATCTCAGTTAATCCAGCAATTTCAATTGGTTCTCAGGCTCTCGGGCGCCCTTCACACGATTAATAGCTCCACGCACAGATAAAGCTTAGTTGGCAATGCGTCGTGTGTCCACTTCTGGCTGATATTCTATGTTCATCGCACTGTCTAGTCATGTTTTAATTATATTAAGTGTTTTTATTTCTAACGCCGTCTTATATAACGTATTAAATAAATAAATAAACGATAAAAAATAATTTTCTTAACAGGCAAATAAATAAATACATAGGCAGATAAATAAATAAATAACAGCCTGCAAGCACTCAGTTGCCAGTGTACATCTGCGCCCACAATGGCCTACCTATCCCCCAGTTCGTTTAGTTGTAGGAGTCAAATTTTTTGCACAATGAATTTGTGTTCATTGTGTGCTTTCAAAAGTCAACGACTCGTGTTGTTCCAACCAACGACCGACCAACCAACCCCGACCGCATTGCTCACCACGCGTTGACAACGCTAGCCGATCGATACCGCCCACGGGTCCTCGAACGCAATCTGTCCTGCGTTGTCAGCGCGTGGCCAGCAATGCGGTCGGTCGGTCGATCGTCTGCTGAAATAACACGTCGTTGAACCCTAAAAGCGCCCATTTCGTCGCAAGCAGTTATATTCAGTAGGAAGGCAGGCAATGTAAGGCGAAACTGTCATAGCTCCTGTTTCTCCAATTTCCCCAACTGGAATTGAAACATCTTCAAAAAACTGCAGCTCATACTGCATTAGAAATGCATCTGTTTCCAATTTCACGTTAGCAAAACTTTCTTTCCGACGTTAAATGGGGCTGTCGCTCTTCTCAGCTGGTACCTTCCCAAGCATTTTTAAATTAGCTCTAGTTCGAATTGGTCGTAGTCTTCATTGTTTATAGATCTCCCAATACCCCAGTACGACTAACACTGAGGGACTACATCTTTGCTTACAGGTTGGGAGAACCCAACAAGGCAAGGGAAGGAAATCCTTTGAGGTTGCAAATCCAGAGATTGGTAGAATTCCCGGTTGTTCGAAGCGTTGTGGTGATTGTAAAGTGACAAGGCTCCTCCTGATGAATGTGAGTATTCTAANGTAGTCATTGCTACAACCTGTTTTGTTTTGTTCACTTTTATTTGTAATCAGCTGTCACTAAGGCGTACTAGAGACCATTGTATATTCTGAAGGGCCAACTATGTGAATCCCACGACTATGCCGACAAACCTATGCTCTTCTGCACTTCAGGATACCTTAAAGGTCACAACCCAATTTTCTTCAATTTTAAGTTCCAAACTTTAAATGGCGCAGCCCCACCACAGACCCTTCTCTCTCCCAGCAGCGTTTTTGCGGGGTGGCTGCAAATTGCTGCCGCTTCGCAGGCGACGTAAATCTCAATTGGAGCAAACAATTAGTCGGTGATTGCTGATCCCAAATGGGAGCTTCCTATCAGCTTTCTCTTTGTGGAGTTTTGACGTTTTACAAAAATAGTTAATCATGTTTATCAGCTCGGCGTCAATTGCCGTTTTTCTCAACATTTCCACGCTGAGAAACGTTCCACTCAGGTTATGAAAGTTTTTCTAATGTCGATTTGATACGGCGATTTGAATATTTATAAATATGTAATCGACAAATACTGCGAATTGTACTGTTTTGGCATTGCTTATTTGAGCAAAAAATTGAGCTGCTCTTTGTTGTGATCACGAGATTCAAATGGTTAGGAATGGTTTGCATCATAGAACGCCAAAGGAACGTTCATTAGTCCGGAGAGGAAGGCTATTGCAGATGGCTAAATGCTGAAAAACCGGTCCCGTTTCTTGGTTCATATGTAAATCAAAATCAAAGTGCACAAAAGAAAAGTTTATGACTTCGGGAAATTGGGATATCTGCGTGGATAGGATAAGCCCCTTCTCACTGTCTGATCCAACGCCGTCCCACTATGTACACCCCTTCTAGTTATGCTACTTTACCCATGTGGCTGAATTTTTCCAATTTATTCGCTCAATTTTAAAAAAGTACACCAAGGAGTATATTTATTATATTCTTTTTGATCAATTCATGGTATGTATATTTATAGCACGAATAGTGTATATTGCCTGTCTATTACTGCTAAAATGAAGCTTTTCTCTTGCATTGCATTGAATATCCAACTTTTTTTGGAATTTAATGAAGTGAAACTTTGTGAAGGAAACGCCTCATCTATGGAACCTGTTAAGCAGAAAATATTCTTTCAGAGATGAGTTGGGCAACGCGAAGGTAGGCATTCAAACGAGGGGAAACATCGTGCCGAATCTCAATTTCTGTGAGTTTCAAATACGTTACCATACACTACGGATAGTTCTGTTTAGAGCGAAATGCTCATGCACAGAGATAGAGTCGGTGTCATGTTTCATTCTCTCACACACGTGCTTGCGTTTATACACCACGACTTTTAAGGCAAATCGATACACTGTGTGAAAATCTGGAGGGGTCTTGTTTTTCATCCCTTCAATTTAGTTTGATAAGGAAGCAGTGTTGTCTCTTCTGCATTTGTTTGTAAATTAAAATAGATATTAAAGTTTGTTTTGATTAACAACAAATTATGTCTCTGCTTGCTATACCAATAAAGAGTAAATATCGAAATATTTAAGTTAACTTCAATTATTTCCTTCGCCGCGATGGTGAAGTTCTGTCGCTCTCGCTTCTTCGCGGCTATTCTTCTTGCATGTTGGGTGTCTGTGATCGTTTACCTGATGTCATCTGGATTTTACGACCGAAGGGTGTGTTTATCATTCGATATCGACTGAGTAGGTGCTGTTTCACCGAAACAACTTCATTTTCAGGAGGAAATATTTGGAGAGCCCAACTCATTCAAAGGGAAGTCATTTGTCATCGTTCCTCGCCCACTTCTCACTCCCCAGACTCCAGAATCTTTATCTACGCCTTTTGTCAAGCCAACAGCATCCAACCACGACTTTTCAACATCTTTTATCGAGAGATTTGGTTTGTTCATTTTCTTTTGTAATGAATGTTAAGTGTAATTCGCTTGAGCTTAATTCTTAGGGTAGAAAGTAAGAAATTTGTTACTTTTAAACATGGTTCTTCATAGATTATTCTATTCAAACGTAAATTCTTGGTGACAAGGTATTCATTCTATCAAGTTGCCATGAATTCGGGGAGATAACGTGCCTTGAAAGATAAACTGAAGTAGTCGAAAGTTGCTGGCTGAAATCATATTAAAACCAAGCAACTACAATTATGGTTTCTTGTGAATCCCGGTTGAAATATGAAATGTTTTTAAGAAAACACTGCCATCCAGCCGAAAGTACTTCCAATCCAAACACTGCAAGAATTTGATGCCGACGCCTTTGTTTCAAAAGGAAAGCTCAAACCAGGAGAGGTAAAATTGTAATCGTATCATAATAATTCCAAATTTCTGAGACGTTTTTCCATAAGGTAGTCTTTCTTTCGTTTTTTTCCGTTGAAAGCTGTACGGCTACCACAGAGTGACGAACGGTTTTTCCTGTTTTAATGTCACAACTTCTCTGTTTCCATGCATTTTTCATCGATCACTTGTATTGCAATATGCTATTGAGACGTAGCATTTTTGCATAATTTAGGACAAATATGCCGCCAACAAGTTTAATCAAATGGCTAGCGACGCCGTGACAGTGGACAGAGATGTGATTGATAGTAGAGAACACCAGTATGTTGTGTATTTGCCTCAGGACTTCCTACTTAAGTTATTCTTCTATAAGCTTAATATATTTCCAGTTGCAAAAAGTTAACATACGACCTCACTGCCATGGAGCCGACATCCATAATTATTACATATCATAATGAGGCACGATCCACTCTACTTCGCACAGTGTACAGCGCGATGCTTCGTTCACCTCCGCAGCTCATCCATGAAATTATTCTTGTTGATGACTGCTCTAATGATGGTATGTGTTCAATTATGACTTTATGAAGCAGTAGCGATGATGTTCAAATTTCACGATGGTTTTACTTCTTTGAGCTTTATATGCCATGTATGCCCAAGGTCCGCATAGACTTACAGCTTGTTTTCGGTGAACTTTGTGCTTACAATTGGCTAGCTTCTTCAATTAGCAACGATTCTGAAAATTACGCTTTGTTATAAACACTGTTTACAGAGTCAATCGGCAAGGACATTTCACAGCTCGAAAAGGTCACTGTTTTAAGAAACACCAAACGTGAAGGTTTCTTTTTTATTAGCCTTCATGTTTATTTGGTTTCATGCATTTTCATGCACAATCAGAGCACTATTTGCATAATCATTTTCTCAGGCTTGATTCGTTCCCGCGTGAAGGGTGCTGCATATGCAACAGCTCCCATTTTAACATTTCTGGACAGCCATGTTGAATGCAATGTTGCATGGTTGGAACCACTTCTAGCACGTATCAGTGAAGTAACTTTTTTTTATTCTGTAATGAAGCCATTATTAGAATAGTTTCGAAAGGGCCGCTACATTGTTGCAGTATCCAAAAGCTGTGGTTGCCCCGATAATCGATGTTATTAACATGGACAACTTCAACTATGTAGCTGCTAGCGCCGATCTTCGTGGAGGTAAGCGTAAAATATTAAATTACCTGGTAACCAAATAAAACTGTCGAAGGTGCTCAGAAATAGTTTTAAACAAGATTCGTCCATTCGCCTCGAAATAGAAACGTTCTTAAGTTTCTATTATGTCTGTCTGTTATGTTGTCATACTGCATTCGAAAATACTAGGCCCACTCTTCATTTCTCACATTCTCCTTGTTGCAAACAACTAAACATAAGTATGCTCCATTGCTCCGTAGTTCGCACAAGTAAAAAAATTATGGGCGATAAATCTGCTGTTTTTATGGTTCATTTAAACATAAAATGGCGCTCAAAATATTAGCTTATACTCCTAATGAGTTTCTTTCAAGGATTTGATTGGAATCTGGTATTCAAATGGGAATTTCTCACCGGGAAGTTGAAGGACGAACGCCACGCGCATCCGACTGCTCCAATAAAGTTTGTTTCTAATTACAATGTCACCTCGTCTTAGTGTTCCCCACTCTACATTTTGATTTGATTTTTACTTTGCAAGAAAGTATTCCACCAGTATTAAATGCAATTATTTGCTTAGCCACCACATTTCCATGTTTTGCGCTGAGATGAGGCAGCATGCCCAAATCTTAGCATATTTCTATGATCCTACTTTATATTATTTATCTATTTTAAAGGTCTCCAACTATGGCTGGTGGTTTGTTTTCGATCAAAAAGAGTTGGTTCGAAGAGCTGGGGACGTACGACATGGGTATGGAAGTCTGGGGAGGAGAGAATCTAGGTCAGCCTTATCTCATTACTTAGAGGGCGGAAGTGCATTTTTTTTTTGTTCTAATGCTCATTTCTACGTCTCTTCTTGGAACAGTGATCGAGGTAGAAGTACCGAGCATTTCAATAATATGGCTACGCAACCATTTAACACTTCAGTTTTCAAATTTAGAAATGTCATTTCGTGTTTGGCAGTGTGGAGGTTCCTTAGAGATAATACCATGCAGTCGTGTGGGGCATGTTTTCCGTAAGCAGCATCCGTATACTTTCCCTGGAGGATCTGGGAATGTCTTTCAATCGTGAGTTTCAATTGCGAGCGATTCATTGGAATGATACTTGTACGATTGTTAAAACGAAAATTCTAGAAATACTAGACGAGCTGCTGAGGTATGGATGGACGAATACAAAGCGATTTATCTCAAAAATGTGCCTTCTGCGAGATATGTGAAGTTTGGAGAGTGGGTTCCCCTTATGATTTTATAGGAGCTATTGTATGCCGTGAACAATTCTTGCCTTGTGACCTTATTATTTAAACTCTATATGGGGACAGTGTGCTTCATGAACGGATATATAAAAAATCAATACTAAGATCAGGAGAGGCAATGCGCATAGTTTTTGAGGGCAATATCAGTTTTTGTGCTATCAGTAATGTGCCCAGGCGCCGAACATTTATATGCATCCACTTGGCGACCCCACCTTCCTTGGATTGTATGATGAATAGGGCGAAATCTCTCTCGTGAAACGACAAGACCATGTAATGCTAAGTTTGATGTGATCCGTAGAGAACGTTCGTTTGAGCAGCAAGTTCATCGCTGAATCTGGCATACACACTCAAAATCACCCGTGGGAATAAAAGCCGCAGCCTACCAATTTTCAAGGTACTCTTTCCCTTATTTCTTCCGGACGGCTGACACTTACAGTTCAACACACAGTTTTTCTACCTCGAAATCTGAGTTGTTCTCGGGCCAAGTGGCACAGTGCCACTAGTATGGTGTAGAGATCGAATTCCCGCATCGACTTCCATCCCGCTCCATCAGTAAATTACTCCCAGATTTTCAGATAGGATCAGAACACTGACTTGTGTTTTACTCCTACAAGTCATTGCGTACAACATATAAGTATTCGAACCTTAGCAATTTTGAATGAAAATAAATCATCTCTAAAACGAGATAGATCAGCGCCAAAAATTTTGCCCTTTACTCTTTCTTCTTTCCCTTAATGGTTTTCTCTTTTCTGTGTTTTTTGATTGATTTTCTTGCCACATAATCGTTCGAAAATTGATGGATCTTTTTTAGTGTGTCTGAGCGTCTGGCATTACGAGAACGCTTGAAGTGCCATTCTTTTTCATGGTATCTTGAAACCATTTATCCCGAACTCAAGTGAGTTTTTCACATTACGTAGCACGTTCATCACTTTGTACTGCTTTATGATTTCCCTTGATGATTCTGCATTCCTCTCCTTTTTCACTGATGCCTTTTAGGCATATTCTTTGCATATTCCATGCATATTTTTTGTAGCTGACTTGCGGGCTTTCCTACCATTGCATTTTCGGTAGCTCTCATTTTACAGCTCTTCTATTTCCTAATTGCAAAGCAATATAGACGTAGAAGAGAACGGATAATAGACGCTCGCTTACGCCTTCCTCATTGTGCGTTTAGTTATTTTTTCATTCGCTCATTGATTTTTTCGTGTGTTGAGACATGGCCACTAAAGTGAGCCGAGAATTTTTCAAAGTAGTGTCTGCACCCATGGATGCAGACAGGCTGATGTGGCGTTAGCAGCTGTCCTGCAGCCAATAACTCATGCTACACGTGACGCCTTGTTGAATCCGAAATGAAGAAAAAAATGCGCCTACGACGTTAATCCTTACCCTAAGTCAGATGAAAGGTAATCGATCACATAGCATACGTCGCAATTACTGTGTCTAAACTGAATCAGCTAATGTACGCAAATAGCCGAATAAAACAGGCAATTGAGACGCTTAAAGGGGCATGAGGCCTGCGGCATATCGCTCGACGGCCGACAGGTTCCACCATGATTCTTAATCGCTACAGTTGTATCAGGCTACCTATTCATGCTTTCTGCTTTTCTTCTTCATTTCGGTGCTTCTAAATGCGAATATTACATGGATTATCTGGGATTGAAATTGATCTCACATGATAGTTTCAAGCAGCAAACTGGTATTTGTCACTTACCTTCAATCTATTCAATCCTCTAGAGCAGATCCCCATGTCTCTGTGAGATTGATACAACTTTTTATCTTTGCGCTATCCAGGTTTCTTGAATATCATCTTTACTCTGTCGTGGTTGCTTTTTTTCTGTCATGTGAACCGGAAGGTAATTACGGAAGGTTTTTTGAAGAGATTCTCCAACTTTTCTTTTTCTAGAAATATTCATGTCAGGGTGCTTAATAGCCGAGTTGTGCTAGTCAGTTGTTCAATCGCAATTGTCTTTTCATTATTTTTCTGTTTTCTTGCTACTCTGTTTTGGCTTGCACATAATTAACAGGGACTGGATGCAAAGTCCCCGTATAGCATTCCTTTGAAGGAGTTCACGAGTCATTACTTTGTTTGACTCACGTACTATAAATGATACCATAATATTATATAATCCACTCTTTTGAAGTCGAAAGTCTTGACAGTCTTCAATGTTTTTCGTTTGATTTGATTCGACGACGTCATGTAAGGTGTTCCATAGAGCAAATATGTTCGCAGCCCCCACATCGTGGAACACTCTGGCAGAGATTTGAGAGAATCTTAATACGTCCCGAGTTCTCGAATTTTTCGGAGAAAAATCCTGTATGACGTAACAATTTGTATGCTTGTATCATTGGATCTCCTTGGAACTGAGAACATAAAAATCAAATTTGTTAATTTGCGAGTTTTGAACTCTCTTGGCCCGTGGCTCGACCATCTTTTGAGGAAATTTTGAGAGAAATGGGAATATAAGCATTTTATTTGTTGACAAGCTTTAGGACCGCTGGTTACGATTATAAAGAAAACTGTATGAGTGGTTTTTTCACAAGTTTTATTTTTGCTAGCAACGAGACCTTATTGTATTTCTTGAAGCGAGAAATGTTTACCTTCCACAAAGTGGTTCATAAGATAGCAAAAAAGCATGTCAAAAGTTTTTCTGGTTTTTATTTCTTGTTAGTCCGATTCCATCTTTCATCTCGTTTTGCTCTTTTGTTATTTCATCACAGAAACCTCCTATTTTCCTTCTATTTCCTTCTTTGCATCATTCATTTTTGGAAACTAGAAAAGGGTTTATATTGGCAAATCCGAAGGCGAAGTACTGGGGATTTCATTAAAGCCACTATACTATATCGAGTTCTATACATTAACATTTTTCTGTACTAAAATTCACTTTTCCAGAGTTCCTGAGCGTGATAAAGGTGAATTATTCCATTTGAAGAATGGAATCATGTGCCTCGACACTCTTGGGCGTAAAGCTGGTGAAGCTCCGGGTCTTTACCAGTGCCACGGAACAGGTGGTAATCAGGTAAATTTATTGTTACCACTCTTCTTCATTTATTAAAATCACTCTGCTCAGCACTACGTCCAAAACTTGAGAACAGGGGAAATGTTTTATAAAACTTCGGTTCTGTACACCCACATGTGTGCAATTACACCGGCAACTTGGTTACGTGTCCATTTTACGTCAAATTGATACAGCATTCTAATACATACATGTTAATGTACTCGAAGCTGTACAATTTAGCTGGGAGACCTCTACTTCGGAATCTTTTCAATATTTTGCAGATTCACCAATTTACTAGGTGGCGCTTTATCCATTGAAAAATATTTCTGTGTTTTTATTTTCCAATATTTTATTTCTGCTGATAGGGAAATCAACTTACTCATTAACTAGTTATCACATTTATTTGAAGTTTTCTTTTAAGGAATGGGCTTATGAGAGAGGTGAAGGATATTTACGTAGTACGACCTCAAGACTTTGTATCAATATGGAGGACATGAATGAAGACCCGCACGTGCTCATGGAAGATTGCAGCAATGTTAGTTTCCTTTTCCAAAGTCCCCTTCTTTTTGCTCATTTATTCCGCATTTCGTGCATTTGTTTTTCAAAAGGTTAGTTGCGATAAGACAATTTTTTCCTTTCATATTTGACTGTTGTAATGCTGGTGGAAGTAGCGTTCTTTCGAAGGAAGTTTAGCTTTAATTCCAGTTCAGTAATGGAAATTTTATGAAAATGCTGTGAAACATGGTTTTTCATGAAAACTTTTTGCTTCTGTGAACTTCTATCGCATAATTTTTCTCTTTCTGTTTTTGATGTGCACGCTACTTGATTGAAATCAAGCGCTATTCAATTTTTCTAGGGACCTACTTTTCCGGGCAATCCAAATGTTAATGTCACAGTTTCAGCTTCGATAGTGAAATCGCCAGTCTTCACTCTCAGAGCTCCAAAATTGACATAGTACTGAAGTTATTTCCTAGTTTTTCCTATTCAACAAGGTGTTTCTATGGTTTCGTTGCATTCAGTAGAAAGATGCGGTGCTTTGATGTTTCCCAGTTTTTTCATGTTGTCCTTAATCCAAATCAAATGTGAACGGTTCTCTGATTACACATGTTTTGCCTAAATCAAGTAGTTTAGTACTAGTTGAAGTTGCAGGTGCGATCGCGTTTTCGAATGGATAGCGCCACTGGTTGGCTCGCTCAGGGTGGACGCTGTCTCACCGTTGTCACTCAAGGAGAGGAACTGCGATTGACAGCGGCAGTATGTGATGCCCTTGATGGTAATCAGCGGTGGGTTTTCGAGAAAACCGCCTCGTTTGGCAATCTCAATGGATAAGTTCCCAACTTTCATTATGAGCTTACTGGCCTTTTTGATTTTGTTAGCTTCCGTATTACTTAGCGATTATCTTGGATCAATTTCTATATTCATAGCTGTTAACGCTTTTGTTGTAAATTCTCCGTGCTTTTCACTACTTACCTTTTTTGATCTATATTTTCTTACCATTTCCACGGTATATGTCGTCACGAAAAGTAACCATTTCTTGAAATCCCCTTAATCGTAGAAACATTTTCAAAGTCTAAGCAGTTTCTTAATTCCATTTCTTATAGGTATGATTTCTTCCATTTTTCATGACTTTAACTGCCTTTCAGGTGCCTTTTTTGATGAGCTAATAGTGCTACAATTTGCCTTTTGCTTATTTGTATCATTGTAGTTCCGAAATTGACTTGCCAACTTCTCACATGCCATCTTTTCCATTTTTGAGCAATCTCAGCGTACTTGAAGCTTTTCATTGTTGCCATGCCTCTGATCTTGTCCATCACTGTTCTAGTCCTACTTAATCTTGCCGTGAACCTTGCCATGTCAGTTGAAACTGGGTAAATGTTCTATGTGGTTGTTGATAATGACTGTCGAATGTGGTTTCAAGCCAGACGTACATTTCCTTGAAGATCACTTAGGAGAGTCTACAGTTAAGGTCTAGGTAGCCACAAACGAAATGTATTCTTATTCGATATTCCTCGTATCTATCCTGACGTACTGCCATGCATTGTATTTCCACATTGCTGAGACGGAGAAAAAGTGTTTCATAGAAGAAATCCCTGACGAAACCATGGTGGGTTGGCTTATGCTTCTTTCTTTCATAGTGCTTGCAAAATTGGGTGCAGCCGCTCATTTACGTGCAAGGCTATCCTTGGTTAAGTTTTAGTCTGATCTTTTCTAATATCTTCGTGCAATTTAAATTTTTAATGCATAGGTGACTGGCAACTACAAAGTCCAATTGTACGATCCTAACACGAAAGGCTATGGTGACTATCCAAATATTGGGATGCATGTGGAAGTAAAGGATCCTGAAGATAAGGTAACTGGAGTACTTCCTCAATTTCACATGGTAATCTAAATGCTGTTCAGGTTATCTTGTCGAAATTGTACACATCGGAGGGTAAATTCACTTTCACTTCTCATCTTCCTGGAGAGCATGTGATTTGCCTGTATTCGAACAGTACTGCGTGGTTCAGTGGAGCACAACTAAGGGTGCACCTCGACATTCAGGCAGGAGAACACGCCCAGGATTATGAACAGGTTCGTGTTGTTGGTACTTCTCACAATAACAACGCTTTTTTTGGTTAATGACCTCTTTTGAGATTGCTACAAAAGATAAACTGAACGAACTCCAACTTCGTATTCGTCAACTTCTTGATCAAGTAGAACAGATTACAAAGGAGCAGAATTACCAACGATACAGGTCAGTTTTGTGAATTTGGTGTTCTTATTTAGCGTGGTAGTGAATCCTGGTCGAGAAATTTGCTTGGTTTCTTTAATTAAAGTTTTTTTTTAGAGAAGAGCGTTTCCGACAGACGTCAGAGTCCACAAATCAGAGGGTTCTGTGGTGGTCAGTCGGACAGACTTTAGTGCTCGTACTTACCGGTGCATGGCAAATGCGTCATCTTAAAGGCTTCTTTGAAGCCAAAAAACTTGTTTAGATGTGTATGTTATAGTTGTTTTTTCGGTATCAACATTGATTTTGAGAAATAGTTTTTTTATAAGATACGGTGTCTTACTGTTTAATATATAAGGCTATCCGTTTAATACTGCTTTTGATCTGGGTTAATACAGTGATATTCCTCTTACTGAAGAAGTCGCGGCTGGTATATGGCTGCTTTTTTTTNTTTTTTTTGCTCTATTTTTATTTATTGTGTAGATTCGTTGATATAAATTGTTTTCTATTAGTTTTCTACTGTGTGTGTCACGATTAAGTTAGCGAGAAACATATCTTTGCTCTGTAGCACCAGTTTCACATAGCCATATTCTTCTGTATAGCTCCAGCTTGTTTGCTGTTAATGGCTGCTCGTCGTTTCATCAAAGGTCTCACGTCTCCATGGTCGCTCGGCTTCTCTGGTTTCGGTCTCGCATATGGATTATATCACATTTGGGAGTGGGTTTTGTATAATGTCTTCAGTGTGGGGCTTCATAAAGTTGATCTCCGATTGAAAGAAACATCGTCGGAATATGTGTACATGTTGTTGCGCCTGAAGGAGTAGGTGTAAGGTGCCGAGTGGCTCAACAACGAAGATGGACGAAGAGGATGCCCAGGGAGCACTAGTTTGCACCATTGTTTTTGCACTTAATTTTAAGTTCACGCACAAAAGCGCGATGACCTGGGTTGTTGAATGAGCATTTGCTTTCAAATGTGTATCATATCGGACTTTACGTCTGGTACCTTTTCGTCATCTCATTCGGGAACTGCGGTGATGCCCTTTCCCGCTCTGTATACCCTGTGAAATTGTTTACAAGTCTTTCTTGCTGCGTTAGGGGCACAAAATTTGGTTGTTGCAGAACTATGTTTTAGCGCGGGTCTTATTTTTAATTGGTTCATGTGATTTCCACTGTATTAAAGTTATTCATTTTTCAAGTGCTACACAGTCCGGCACCAAGTACGATTTATATGAAAATTTGGAAGGAAAAACGTATATCGTCACTGGAGCGACATCAGGAATAGGACAAGTACGGGCTTGTTTCACTTCTACTGCGTATTTGCATAGTTGCTCTTCTCTACGTTATTTTAGGCCACCGTTGAAGAACTCGCGAAACGGAATGCGAGGGTAATTATGGCATGTAGGTGGGTTGAAACAAGTTACTGCTCGATTCGGATTCGTATATTGCAATAGTCGATTCAGGAATCGTGAAAAATGTGTCCAAGTGCGAAGAGATATCGTCTTAAATACGCGGAATAAGCAGGTTTACTGCAGACAGTGTGACTTGGAGGATTTTGACAATATACGCGCTTTTGTTCAGAAATTAAGCAAAGGTTTTCATTACTTCACAGCGGTTCACTTACTTTAGTAATGGTACACGTGAAGACCATTCTCATTACTTCTAGTTATCATGACTGCTAACCTTCGGAAATACGTTTTCTTTTCAGGCAAATTTGAACTTGATAGAATTGATGGGCTGGTTCACAACGCTGCGATGATGGATCCTGAAAGGAAGGTCAACAAAGTAAGATGCTAAACGCTCGAGTATATCGCCGTAACTTCTCTTGAGCGGCATCTGTGTTGTGGTTTGCTTGTGATTTTCGCTGACTTTGATCCTTAAAAAGCGCCGAGAGAGCCACTAGCGGCTTGCTATGATTAGCCTGACTGCAAAAATCGAGCACCCTGGCTCTTATTACTGAGAATTCAATAGTAAAAGAAAGCAACTTCCAAAAGAAACAAGACGCGAAGAAAAAGAAAAGATAATAGAGTGCATGACTGTAGTAATAATAGAATGCACTAATAGAATGCATGACGCTCAAGTAATCGTACTTCTTATGAACACTAATCTGATTCTGGGTTCTCAAAATGTTAGTGTCGGCGTGTTATGGGCAAGACTTCGGCCACGCACGGGACTCGAACCCGTACTTGTGTTTCTGTGGTAGGCTTTTCGGGTATTAGATATTATTCACTGGTCTTGACAGTCCAATCTCTCGCTTGGCGCAACCGATAACCTGGTTAATGTAGACAGCGGTTAGACACGAGCTCTACGGCTAAACCGGTCATGCTCTTGTTTTACCCCTCGCAGAACCGCAACAGCAGAAGCAAATCGTATGTACATCCATCATTATCACAAACTGTTAGCAAGCGGCCTTGAAGTTAGTCAAGTGTAAATGTATGTTGAAATTTGAAATGCTGACTTAATCTGGAAACTAGAAAGGATCTCGACTAACGTCACAGCCATCCTTCCCCTTCTTGCTATGGTGGATCGTCGAGTTTTGCTTACGTTTTTTTTTTCTTTGCTACCGCTTGCCAACTTCGAGCCCATTTGTACTTTCAGGATGGAATCGAGCGAACATTTGCCACTAACCACCTTGGTTCATTTTTACTGACTGCATTGCTTCTGGACAAATTACTTGCACAAGATCATCCAGTCAGAATAGTCTTTCTAAACACGAACATCATTGGGAGGAAGTAAGTTTTTCAATATTTGTCTCATCGCCATGCCTTGGAGGGCGACAAGCGTTTAGGTGTGAGCTGGACTTCGAAGATTTAAATGCTTCGTCTCGAAAGAAGTACGATGGGTTTGAAGTGTATAAACAAAGCAAACTTGCTGCAGCAATGTTCGCTAGGGAGTTAGCCGAGAGACTGAAAGGTTGGTTTTCGAAGCTCAAGCGGTTTTTTTTTCTTTCTTTATGGGCGACCTTTTAGGAACCAATGTGTCGGTAACAGTCGCAGATCCAGGGAGAACCAAGTCTAATCTTTCTTCTCAGATGGACGGACAAACATTCTTCCTAAGTCGATGGTTGCTCAAAATTGTTAGGTGTGACCTCCCATACTTGTGCTTTGCTCTATTAGGGTAGATATATATTCAAATTCTATTTAGTTTCGGTATGGGTGAACGGCGAACTGAAAAAGCAGTGCGACCAGTACTGTATGCTTTAGCCGATCCTGCCATGGAAGGTGTTAATGGAGTCTTTATTGAGTGAGATTTCTAACATTTTTACTTCCACTGCCATCAGGTTGATAGCTAATCTCCTTCAAATTTCTGTCAAAGAAATCAGTGAAAAGCGATTCGGTATATTTGTTCATGGAAGTTTGGATGTGGGCTGTTGGGATATAGTAGGTCCCGTAGGTCGGCCACTGCGCAGATTACTTTTAACATCCTGCTACGTAGACCTTCCTTTTCATGTTTCTCCAAATGTACACTCAATGAGGAATCGCCTGAGGACTTCTAAACAAGGTTATTAGGGTGTTTTGATCGATCTAGTTCCGACATGAACCGATGCTTTTGATTTCCTCTCACAATGGAAGCTCCCAAATGCTTGTGTATATTATAGAATGACTTGGATAGGCTGGCTGATAACNGGGGCTGAGTAGGCCTGTGAGGATAGGATACCAACACGGGATTTCAACAGCGGATCATATCTCTCTTGTAGTAGACTGTTTCCATTTGAGTCTTAGGAGATTCTCTATGAGGTCAACTTCCATACCAATGGCGCTGAGCAATAGACTATACCTTCAATAAATGCTATTGAAGATGGTCTCTGCGTGCTTTGGTAGGAGATTCTTATAAGCAGAGCTTACCCAGTTATCGTGACCATGCGCCTAATTCACGCGGTAAATACCAACTTCTGCACGTATGAGTCACTTTTTCCATTACTACATTTAGTATATCGCCAGTAAACAAGTCCACCATATTACTTAAATTTTGTAAATCTAACATGTAAATGGTATTGCTCGGGCTATGAAAGGTGACTGAAAACCCGGCTGGAACACAAAGTTAGAGCTGAACGTCGTGCAGTTTTCTAAATATTAACCACCTTTTTTAAGTCGAGAACGCAATGAACAACCATGGTGCGACTCTGTGGAAGATGCCGAAAAACGCCGTCGATTATGGAATACAAGTGAGGTGTGGACGAAACTTAGCGAGCGCATGCAGCAGGTACACCCTAGTGACACTCGTTTAACTCTGACCTCATCTTGGACTGTTTTTTTCTCTATAGCAGAACATAGAAAACTAGCGTGAAGTTCATTTTAATCCTGAATTCTTTGGAGAGGTACGATGAAGACAGTCTTTTTCAGTTATATTGTTAGACTTGCTCTCGAGTGGACTTTGGTCAGAAATGAGGACATCTCATTTTGTATGAGTGCAGAACCGTTTTGATCATTCTCACGGAAATTGAGAACATCTCATTTCGTATGAGTGAAGAACCGTTTTGATCATTCTCACAGAAATTGAGAAAACTCATCGACTTTGTGAAAAATAAGGCTTCCTAAAGAAAAAGAGGAAAAAGAGGTTGTACGATATCACCACGACGGTAATGGCATATAGGGGTTATTTTGACAAGATTTCAGTTGTTGCGGATGCCTAAAGAGATGTCTAAGTTAAGCCAAAAATGTCCAAATATGTCTTTCACTGTCGTCAGAGGTCATGTTCAGTTCTTTGAGTTTGTAACCTGGGAGTCCCTTGAGAAGGTGCAGCCAGTCTCTGCCATGCCGTTGAAACTCGTCCGCTATGGGTATGGCATGCAACAGATACGATCTCTGAGCCCTTATAACGTCCTACCTAGGTAGTTTACCGATCTGACAGCACCGCATTTGGTATACAGGCCGCAAATCCATTCCCGGGGGATATCTCAGAAACCATTTCATCGTGAACTGTGCCTAATGCTGCTATCACTACCTATTGTCAGTCTACTCTACCCTCTCGTTTTATCGTTCGAAACTAGCGATGGTGTCGAGGCCTCCGTACGTAGGAAAGGCAGTAGGAAGGCCGTTGCCTTCTAAGACCTTCAGCCTTTAGGAGCAGTTATCATTTTCTATAATCCGTTATACGCACTCCACTTACACCCTACATCACACATTGAATTAGAAAGACTTCATTGTGAATACGAAAAAAGTGATCTCATGGCTTTTGTATTTCAATGCNCATCAGCAGCCATCGGTGGTTCTCAATTTGTATCACCATTTATTTACGACCGCTCAGGTTTTCGTATTGAAGAGAAGGGCGTAAAGGACCGATGGTTCCTCCCTTCCATTGCCTCTTACCAATCGTTTTCAATTCGAGTCATGTACTGATCCCATCAACCTACTGATCGCCCATCGAAATGCCAAGTTCCCACTGTTACGAACGTCACCGATTCAGAGACTCTTGCCTTTTATGATCACTTATCACTTGTCACCAGTTTCTTCCACCTATCATTAACTATCCTTTCACAATCCGAATCTCCTGAAGTCTAATCTTCCACTGCCAATGCCAAAAGCGCAACTGTTGCCTCTTGTAGCTCTTGCCTTCCATGGCATAGAGAATGTTTGTGATCTTTTCACAATGTTTGACTTCTAGTGATTATTGTGAGCATGACGTTATATTATATGATATATTTCAGATGCGACTAGAGCTTGGAGACGCTGTTCCAGCCCTAGACAAATCATTAGACGCGAAGGAAACTGCGCCCGGTCGGAGTTGGAAAAGGTTATGGCTGTGGTAAATCACCAGCCTGTAGCACTAGATTAGTTTTTAGTTCTCGTTGTTTATTATTGTTTATAAAGATCCAATCTTTCATAGCATGTTATAGTTTTTCGAACTCTTAGGCCGTATAGTTCAGGATCAGAGCAATGTCGTCAAGATTCTCATGACTACCTACTAACTTAAGTCAATTTTGCGCAGAAGGATACTTTTGCATTCGTTTTTATCTCTGAAGGCCTGGCCAACACAATGCAAATTTCGGGAAAAAGCCCTCTAAACTAAGCCTGCTACTTTGCTATTTTAAGGAACACAACTAGTGGGGTATTTGAGTGGCAATATTAGTGTCTGAATTTTGAGGGATGAACATACGCATGCTACGAATTTTTCATAGCGGATTCTCTTATCAAACTTAGAAGAACTTAGTCGTTTTTCAAGGCGAGCCGCATCCCCCTACCACGGCAGAAGATGCGGTCGGCGAAGCAACACTGCGACTGTTTCTAAATGCTTGTAACCAGATGAGAACCTCACGACTTTGACACATATAAAGAAGATTGAAGAAGATTACGAGTCTCTATTTTTTCTTTTCTTTAGGCTTACTGGCGCAGTGATGCTTTAGGTGTAGCTGAGCCATAGAGTTTGTCAACCAGAGTCTCAAATCATACTAACTAATCGTCCATGGCGCTTCAATCATTCATGAGTATAAAACAGTGAGTGAAAATGTAGTTGGAGTAGTTGAGGGGGTGTAGCCATTTCTCTTTTTTAACACCAGGCGCTAGAGCGCAAAGGATAGCCGGTTCTGCGAGCCGTAGTGGTACTGGGGAACTATTTCAGCCGAGGATTATAGTTTTGTAAACCCTGAAAGGGGAGGAGCATCGGGGTGGGTGTGACAATGGCTCATGCAAAAAAGGGGTTTTTTCTAATCAAAACAGTAAGCGGTAGCTCTCAAGATACTAAACCTGCTCAAAAAGCAACATCGCATGTCCATGAGTTTTCAAGAATTGATATCAAAATAGTAGGAAACGTTTCTATAGCAGCAAACCTTGGACGCATAATGATCGCTGTCCAGTAACAAGGATATGGTATTGGCTTTGGTCAGTACTTATCACCGCTCTTGTCAGTTTGCGCCTCTCTTGAGCGGTTACCCCATCATAGCGCAACCAGCATCCCGAAATCTCTAAGCTAGTACACACACACAAAAATTTCAGAGCAGACGCACTGGCTTTTTTCTTCGAATATGCCTAACCGGCGTTTATCAATTGTTTACACCCAACAACCTTTATCTGCAATACAGCCACTCCCTAGCTCATGCACTAAATGCGTACTGATCATTCCACAGGCAAGGAGAAAGTGGTCTATCAGTTCTCATACTTGAGGACCACTCATCAACCTTGATCGAATTTTATTAGTTTCTGTCACCAAATCCTGTCATACCACCCTTCACCCACGCAGTTCTAAGATTCTACCGCTAACACAAAGGTTGTAATAACTAACGACTCTCGCCTTCTACAGCCTCTAATCAGCTCAAAAAATCAATTAGTACCAGTCACTAACCACGTTTGACCCTGACACTCTCACATCACCCACCATGCCCAGTTTCCACTGGTACACAAAAAGGGTGCGATCTAGAGGTTTTTGCCCTCAGACGCTCCCAATCATATTTAATTAGTTGTTATCAGTTTCTGTCACCTGTCATCAGCGTTTTCCCCTACACACTACCATGCCCCGAATATCGAACCTAGATCGACATCAGCCCAGGTGAACCAGATCGTTTGTCCTTCGGAGACGGTTAAATCGTTAAGGCTCGCCTGAGACGATAGGTACACTGACTTATACATCAACTGACCACCGCAAGTCACTGTACGGGCCATGTACGCATCCAAACGCCACTACTACTCTGATTGGAATTCGGGTGCCATGGGCATCCGATAATGGGATTAACTAATTAGCATGGAATTGATGTGTAGTCATTTATATATTAACGTTCAAACGTAAACTAGAAAACATAATTTTCATTTATAAAGTCAAAATTCTATTCGACACATATATGTATCTTCTTGAACTAGAGCGAGATTCAAATAGTAAAGCCAACGAGAACCGGTTAGATCAACATAGTATGTACAACATGAATGCAATGTGAAACATAAGAAGCGATGTAGCAGCAGTGAGAAATGCGCCATTAGACCCATAGGACTTCATCAAGGAGACAGTTTTTCGACGACTTGCCAAAATCTGAAATAACTCCAACATAGTTTGCAACTTAATTTCGCTATCTGTATACCCAAAACTTTGTACCTTCCGCAATATTCAGGACGCTGAGGCACAACAGCAGCTTGGTGAAAGGCTTCTGCGATTAACGGTCCGAGCTTCAACTGAGAGAATGGTGCTGAAATGAATCATACGTATTGGCTGCTTTCATAGTCCGGCGGCCGGCGGACAATGAAAGCAGCCATTTATCCGCTGACCGTATTACATACCATTCAGTATACTTAGATCATTCATTCAAAATCAATCGACTGGTCATTATGAAAGGCGACGATAAGACCAAATGAGTTATTAATTAGCTTAGAAATGATTCTTCAACTGAAACCATTCGATGCTGTGTGCCGCGAGAAGTGTAATATCGGCCGAGAAAAGTGATGGGTAAACGAACAACTTTATATGGATTAGCAGAGAAGGAGAGACTGAAAGTCCATGGCAGAGGAACTGTGTACTTGAGTGTTCTACCCTTGACGAGTTACTTTTTTCGAGAAAACACGTAAACTCACGAGCGTAAAGAAACGAGCTGGCCAAATTATCCCAAATTATTGTCCAGTATCTTTCTTCCCAGTCCTGCAGTTCACATAATTCCGCCAAAACATTCAATGACACTTTTTCTGCTGAGATCTGAACCAGCTATTAACAATCTTTTGAGAAGTGTCCCAAACACATTGTTAGTGAATTTTATGTGAGAGTGAGAAACAACCTCAGAAAAAATGCTCTGCAGTCGTTGGCTCATCTTCTGCTGCGTTTCTTTACTGAACAGCGAATTCATACCAATGCCTTTGTAGCCCCACTGAAAAAAGGTGTCGACGGCTAATGCCAAGAACACAATGTTAATTCCGTATACTGGCATGAAAAAGCGTTCTATTTGAATACTCTACCACTGTAATAGAAGTATGACAAAACGGGACACCGAAGTTTTGGCTGTTGCGATTGAAACACATGCAATACATGATATCCACAAATTAATCATCTGGAAAGTATGTAACTAAGGCCAACCTGGTGAATGAATATCACTTTTATAGCGTTCAAATGGTACTGTACCGTCTCGTCACTGGGTTCCTGAAACTTGTTCTAATCTAATTTCAAACGAACGTGTAACTAGGCGCCTCACTACGAACACCTTTGTCTTTCTCCTCTTAGAGTTGAGAAAAAAGGTTTCTTTCTACCTCAGGCGTAAATGTTTGAATATGGGTCAGGAGACGTTGTTGCACAAAATTGGGTATCAGCGCGGTGATCTCAAGAAACTCGTAAACGTAAGCATAATGCTAGTCTGTCTTCAATAAAAAGACACGCATAAATAATGACAGCAAGCGATGATGGCACGAGAACAACATTAACACAGAATAAACAATGTGAAAGGATCAGGTGATGAGAGGTGTCAACCCATTGTTAACCCTTACCCCGCCTGCTCAGCCTAACGAGTGCGTGTAATCGTGTGGTCCGCTGGCGAAATACAATTGCAATTTCTCTTTCTATATCGAATTTTCATTTTCTTCTGAATTAGGGTAACGCTCTCTCAATAATCTCACGCGGTGTCCAGGAACCGCTCTCCCTTTTTTGACGGAAAGTGCATGAGCTCGGACAAATGGAAAGAAAGCGATCTCTCTGAGCCATAGGCAAGGAAGAACCCAAAAGCGGCTTGTGCATTAAGCCACATTTTCTAATTCAGGCGCAACAGGTCCTCCGTTGACAGGTAAGGGAGGTTACGAACAATGGCAGGAGAAGGGGACGTCTTTGAGTACCTATTTAATGTTCGGTAGGAATATCTGCCACTATCACGTAATGATACTTACGACACGGTATTGATATTCGAAGGAGAATCCGTTGCTAATACAGTCTATACCTTTTTCTACTCTGTCAGCCAGCCAAGCGAGGCTCACTCTTACCCAGAACCAGAAAATATAATTGAAAGGAATGAGCTCGCGCACACTGGAATTGCAAATGTAATATAGAGCAATGTGTGTAAATCTATAAGAAAGTGCTACGAAGGGATAAGGGACGAAGAATCACAAGGAAAGTGCAAACGTGAAGCGCACCGGATGTTCGTCTATGGAAAGAAAATGATCCTGGGTGCTTAGGGCTTCTATACACCTGATTGCCTTCAACCAGTAGGACGAGTCGTCAATTTTCTGACTTCAACGTTATTGAGTCATAATACGAGTGTGGGGGAACAACTTTGGCTTAGGAATACAGGAGAGGAAAATCGTTATGTTTGATGAAGAAAGGGGAAAACATCTAGTTGACGTTTAACTCAATCCCATATCCAGGCGGTGACGGAGCTATCATTGACACTCAGGCATTTCAAACAATCCTACTGTATTTAATTCGGTGTGTTCGTTGACTTACCGTTGCGTGTACGTCTGTATGTGTACGTATATGTATATGTATATGTATATGTATATGTATATGTATATGCACATGCATGCATATGTATATGTGTATGCGCATGTGTATGTATGTATAATATAAACAAGGTGTGCCATAAATATGGTGGCAACTTTTTGAACGTCCGTAATTTTCTCGTCTGGAGGGTTTCCCCAAATCTGCACATTCTCTTATGATTATGATATACCTTAGCCCGCAGATCTTTTTTGGTGCTCTCAATTCGTCAAATTTCGAAAAATGGTGAAGCCTCGCAGACATCCGCCAACCGTTCCGTCTGTGGGCGCATTTGGTGAGTTCTTTTCCGGGATCGCTCCTCGATTCAACATTTCCCACATGACAGTCTCTTGAAACGCGATGCGTAGAGAGGACAACGGCAAATCTCGAAGCAGTCTTGTCTCGCATACGGCCTCTTTTCCGAATAGAATTTTTCTGGAAGGAGAACGCTGCGGAACTGAGTGCAGATTAGTTTGTATGTTCTAGTCCGATAAGAAGAGTTCACCCGAGTAAATACGGTTGTATACAGATCGAATTCGAAAGCCTTATAAGCTTTTTGACGAGAAGTTGGAGAGAAAAAACAAATGCCGTGCGCTACTCACGCGCGGCACGCGCTTCGACAGACTTTTTTCTGACTCAAGGGTGTTCAGGGTTGAAGAAATGTTGAGATCTCAGAGTATACGTATATTTCACACTACGNGTGCTGAAGCCGCTGAGAAGAGTCAGATCTCCTCTCGTAGCCGTCTTCCCTCTTCCATGATGATTTCGGCTGGAATCTCTACCAGCGACATCGCAAATTTTGGTCGACAAAAGTCCAAAACGTAATCCGAACTTGTTCAAGAAGTTTTCTGAACGGATGCAGCTGAGGGTCTAAGATTTTTTAAGGGGTCAATTTGAAAACTGCGACGCACTTGCTTATGAATGGGGAAAGATCAAGACTGGTGCTGAGGAAATGTTTGCGACTATATCCCAGCTTGCAATCCTCCTACGAATTTCCCGAACCACAACGTGATGAGTCGCTCGATATAGTCGATAGTGGAGAGGAAAGCCTGCGCTTCAAAACACACTATGTTGCTGCTCCTAAGAAATCATCGAAAAGCTCGCGCTGGAGTTTCTCAAGTAACTCTGCGTGCCACCGTCCATGAGTAGCCGAACGTCTTCCAGCTATAATTAGTACAGGAGGCGGGCATATAAGATGACAGTGTGATTGTTTTGTAGATTCGATGCATAGTAAATGACTCACAAGAATTGATGACGTATCAATATTAAATGCGGTTTCTAGGGGCCAATTTTTTGTTACTGTATTCAAGGCGCGCCCTGTACATATATGTATATATATGTAGCGGTCAAAAGTATTCGCCGAAACGGTTTTTTGTGAATATTTCTTTTCCTGTTCGACCGAATTGCTTGGAAATTTTATATGTCATGTGTGGCATTGTTACAAACAAAATAATTACCGGCATTTCATTTCATCGAATTATTGCTAGTAAAGGAGGTCAGATGCACAATCTTTCAAAACAGCTTGCAAAATCTAGGTCTAANTGAGGTCCGGAGATTGGCTCGGCCAGTCCAAAAGAGTCACATCTTTCTGCTGGAAGGCGTCTTTCGCGGCACGTGAAGTGTGTTTCGGGTCATTGTCTTGTTGCAAAACCCATCCGGCAGGCATGTTATCTTCCGCCCATGGAAGTATTTTCTCAATGACCATGTCGCGTAGCTTTGGCCAGTCATCGTGCCTTCGATTCTTAGATTAGGGCCCATTCCGTGGAAAGAGAACGCGCCATACACCATTACCGATCCTCCGCCGTGCTTGACAGCGGGTTTGGTGTATCTAGGATTGTATCTTTCACCACTAGGACGTCTCACGTACTTGATACCATCAGATCCGAAGAGGTTGAACTTGCTTTCATCAGTAAATAGAACCTTGCTCCACTCGTTCGATGTCCAGTGCAGGTGGCGACGGGCGAACTCTACTCTTGCCTTTCGATTTTTCGGGTTGATCAGCGGTTTCTTAGCTGGGCGCCTTCCAATCAACCTTGCAGCATTAAGCCTTCTTGCCGCAGTCCATCTGCTGTTGTTTGTTCCATCACTAGCGTTGACCTCAGCCGCGAAGTCGACGCTGGTAAGCGTGGGATCGGCCTTTTAGAGTCGAACGATGCGCTTATCCTGGCGAGCAGATGTTGAAGGCGGCCTGCCCGTTCTCGGGGCGTTAGACACCGTGTTCCTTTCGCGGAAACGAGCAAGAATTGATGACACGGTGCGTGCTGGAATTTTCAGAATTCTCGCAATCGTTGCACCTCTCATGCCTGCTTCCTTCATGTCCACTATAGCTTACGGGTGACTTCCGAAGTTTCGGCCTTCTTAACCATTGGGATGAGTCGCTTACGTCAGAAAGATGTTTGAATATCGCAAGAAGAGCGTACACTGCAGTAGTGGCACGGGGGTGGAAATTAGTAAATTCAAAAAATGTCGATCGAGATCACGTGTTAGGCAGTGCGCGGGATTATATTTGGCGCAATTTGTTCGTAACATTGAACGACAAAACATACCCAAATTTGAAGCAAATCGGTCATGCAATGGAGAAGGAATTCACAAAAAAGCGTTTCGGCGAATACTTTTGACCGCTACTATATGTATGTGTGTATGTGTGTATGTGTATGTGTGTGATGTGTGAGTCCGGAAATTCATGTATTCTGTTCCCGTGGACCTAGACTGTTGTAAGGATGCAGGCGGCAGGTCAAGTTTAACACAAAAAGGACGAGAGCTCAACTCGTACATTAGATGCCTCCTGCACATGCTTATGATGCGGCTGGTTGCACTGATGAATGAAACTTTTGAAGAATCTATATGGCTACTTTTGAAGATTTTTGGTCGACTAATTTTTCGTCTTCCAATCCCTTCCTGCACCGAAGATTGTCTCATCGACTACTGAAGAAGATATGAAACAATGAAATTTAAGCAAGAAGTGATAGCCAAAAACCAAAGTACACTATTTTTGACTAAGACAATGAAAGAAGTCGCGTAGGAATAGCACTACGGAGAGGAAGACTGACAATGTTTTATAATGTGAGAAAAAATAAAGAGCTGGAATCAGACAAAAAAAAAAGCATCATCGCAGAAGCCTTCGATTAGCAAAAGCAGTGAGCGTAGAAACCTCGATTACGATCTGGAAAAAGACGAATCTAAAAGAACATAACAAAAAGTATGAGCCTCCGGACGAATGAAAGTTTACATGAATATGAAGAGGACAAAAGAAAGTTGAGTTGAGAAGCGCTCGGTAGTGAGGGGATGTGCAGAGAAAGTTGAAGGAAAGGAAATGCAGAAAGAAGAAAGCACACCGCAAAAAGGGTACCCTCAAACGAGTGATGCGTTCAGTATAGAGGAAGGGACTTCGGGCCTACCTTTGCTTTCGGCACGTTTTGAACAGTCAACTTATTGCAATAGTTGATGTATGAGCAAAGATAATCTTTACGTTGAGAAGTCGGCATATAGTACTCAATTTTTGCTTCCAACCAATCTCTTGGTACCTGAACAAAGACATAACTGAGTGAAGTCTTGGTATTGTCTGGTTAGTACCATTTCCTTCATTCCAAATCAGTCCAGTGACTGAATTTGATTGTGCACATCGGTTAGCACTCAGTCTCTCTGTATGGAAATATTTTACTGATACATTCGAGGCTACATGGCTTCGAATAAAAGCTTAGAAAGCCGAATGTGTGACGCGCTCAGAAGATTAATATTCGCCATTTTCATTATGAGTACCTAAAAACGAAAGCAGATCCACGAGTCAAGTCATTGAAAACACAGGAGGTTGTGCTTCACGGTCAATGATATGCACCATCATAACTCAAATTGATAACTCAATGTCCACGTGCGGCTCTCGATAAAAATTTGCATATTGTCGAAATAACTTTATTGGTATAACTCCACATGAGAATCACAACACCTTACTGGCTTACGTTTCGGCGAATCCGCCTTCTTCGGAGCCTGAAAGGATGGAATCTAATTCTAATCAACAGAAACGCCCCTTGTGAGTGACGTAGATCGGCTGTCTCGAGTTCAAAATTCATGAACAAAGACTAACCTTATACAGGGGCGAGTTCACGCGCAATTGACACGCATTCCCCCTTCCGTCTCATTTTCGATATAAATGACCCGGATCCAAAATGCACCTAGGATCTTACTCGCGGCTGCTTGTGTTTGCGACAAGACCTCGACCGTGACCCAAAATCGTCTCCATTGTGAGATTGTCCTGTGGCTACTCAAGGCAATTGACGGAGTGCAACTTAGCTTTATCGTTCAAATGTTCTTTAATTCGTACATGAAGTGGTCTAACTGTCTCACTTATACTCATCTCCACAGTTTTGGCGAGTGATTTTGTAGACTCTACCAACAACACTACGGTCACTTTCTCTGCTAGTAGGACAGACTACACGATTAGGTACAGCACATGTGCGATCGTAGAGGCGACACCGCAGCAAACGATTTCGACGAAACCAACATTGTTTTGAAGACCCTCTTTCCTCAGACGCTTTCTATTGGAAGTGCTTACTTCATCGGAGATGAATGGCATGGTAAATGGTATTTTCGTGTTGAGTAAACAACCACTAGGCCTTGTTTTTCATATGTCCTTTCGAAGCTCTTGATACTCCACTTTATTGGTTAGCTTTCGGCATATAACGCCTTCTTCAGACCGTAACTTTACAATACATAGTTGCAAACGACCAGTCAACAATCAGTTACAACTATTTCGTTTTTTACCGTCACACCTTACCAACAACCACGTGTTTTTAAGTTAACTTCTTAGAGTGCTATTGAAGGGAACATGCGACATGGAATCCTCCGATGGAGAATCTTTACATGCCAATGTAAGTAACGATGCTGTTATGAAAGCTGTTATAGAACTTTTTTCTCAGCACGAAAACGCAGTCAACATATACAATCCTTCAATAGGTGGAGTAATGGTTCTTCTGAAAGAATGTCTGAACTGTAGCATCTTCAGGTGGTCGGGAAAGTACTATGCGCAACAACTGGCGCCTACTTTGAACATTCCCTTCGTGGCCAAAATAGAAGTGCCTTTACTCGAACGTCTTGCTAGCTCTTGCGTCATAGCTTGCTCTTCGCAGAACGAGTTTGACCTTTACTTTGATCTCTTGATGCACAATCTGTGCGGGTAAAAGTTACTCGAGAAAAGTTCCACGAAGAGCGAGTGTCTTTCCTTAATTTCCAAGGAAGAACTTAAGGGCCCTGCTCTGAAAGCATCATTATTGCTCATTAGAAATCTGCGCACCCTTTCCAAACAAAACGAGCAGTGGTTAGGAGTATGTTTTGAACTGCTGCAGAAGCTTGCGCTGGAGTGATTGAACAATAAGAATTCCTGAGCATAGCACGCAATATTGCTGAGCTTAACGGATATAAACTTTCTTTATTCCGGGAAGCCAGAGTAGATAAAGAGCCAAACGAGCTTAGAGGTGATTCAATACAATAATACATTCAATACAAAGATCCCATTAGCTGTGCCCCTCATGCCGATGAAGTAAACACGTCCATGAGGAAGTGTCTGAGGAGAGCGGGTCTGGAAAACATTGCTGGTATCGTCGAAACCCCTCCTGACAATCTAAAGCGTCGTTTCTACGATCGCACGTGTGCAACACCTAATTGTATGAACTGTCCTACTGGCAGAGAAAGTGACTGTAGCGTTGTTGGTGTGGTCAACAAAATCACTTGCCAAAACTGTGGAGAGAAGTACTGAGGTGGGACAGCTAGAACACTGAGCAAAAGGCAGAGCAGTATAGAACATCATTCAAGACGGAATTAAAGAACATATAAACGATAAGGCTAGTTCGCACCCGTCACACGCCTTAGCCTGCCTCAGGACACAATTTCATAATGGAGACGATTTTGAGGTCACGGTTGAAATCTTGGCGCTTGGAACACAAATAGTCGCGAAGAGACCTTCCGGAGCCGGCTCAAGGACCATTACTATATATAAAGCGCTCTGCCTGTCTGTCTGTTTGTGTGTTTGTTTGTACGGAAGTTCGATATAACCTGAAGAAGCACCTGGAGAAGTCGGGTCAAGTTTGGAATGGTTTGAGCATAGGGTAAGTGCAACAGAGCACATGTGATCCTAGCGGAGCTCCGCCCCCAAGGGGCGGCGCATGCGCCGGAATTGGGCGGGGTCATGGGCGAATTCTTCTAATTCGGTCTCACAACATTCCAGACTCCGAGAAAAAATGTGCAAAGGTGAGGGATGGGTCAACAATTGAAATAATGGAAACTTACTAGGGGCGGGCGGAGCGTTCCCGCAGTGGGCGGTACTTTCCAAAGAGGTTCATAACTCGATTTAAGGGGTCGAGGCCAGGAAAAAAATAGAAAGAGTGAGCAAGGCCTTATGCATGCTGGACATGCGTAATTATAGCGAAGCCCCGCCCACGATGGGCGGGGCGTGCGTTGAGGAAAAAGCTACTTTCCAAAAATGAGTGTAACTTCCTCCGGAAAAGTCATAGAATGCGGGGAAAAAGTGGTTGGAGGTAATGGGACAAATGTGGTCAAATCCCAGAAGTGGGCGGAGTTGGCACCAAAGTGGGCGGAGCTTAGATCAAGAGTTTATAACTCTTTTCAGAAACGTTCTGGGAGGGGGGAAAAAGTGGTAGGGAGTAAAAGAACAAATGTGGTCAAATCCCAGAACTGGGCGGGGTTGGCACCAAAGTGGGCGGGCCTGGATAAAAATTTATAACTCTATTCAGAAACGTTTTGGGATGCAGGAAAAAAGTGGTTAGATGCAGTAGAACATGTGGTCAGACCCCAGAAGTGGGCGGAGTTGGCACCAAAGTAGGCGGGGCCTAGATAAAAAATTTATAACTTCAGAAACGTTCTGGGATGCGGCAAAAAGGTGTTAAGGTGTAAAAAGACAAGTGCGGCAAGTCCCAGAAGTGGGCGGGCTCATATCAAAATCATTAAGTCTCTTCAGATGCGTTTTAGAACGCGGGAAAAGTGCCTGGAGGTAATAAAAGTAAGGCGGTTCGAAGTCTGAAGTGGGTGGGGTCGCGAAGAGGGGGGCGGGGCTGACGAGGGAAGGATACTTGGTCGCAGTGGCCATTCGAGATGAGATGTATTCCCCTGTAAGTGGTTTCGAACGCTGACCTCATATCTGTGTTCCAAATCTGCTAAACGTTTCTGGGAACAAAGTTACGGAACCAGTCCCTCCCTGTGTTATACCACTACACTGAACGGATCACCGAGCCGAGCAAACCTCTTACCTGTGCAACGGTGGCCTAGCGGCTAGTGTGGTGGAGGGCAAAAATACTTTCCCTGTGATACCTTTCCAGTGTTCCTAGAATGTAGATAGCTCCCTAGATGGCCGATATTTAGCCCAAAAAACGTTTTGCAAGCATTTAGGACACATTTTATCAAAAACCAAAACGAGCGCGTGCATCAAAGAGTCGAGCCTTGATGTCATGCCTACCAGTCCACCGCATTGTCCGGTAGGCCACCGTTGCACAGTTCACGGGTCACCGAGCCAAGCCAAGATCTTAGGTCTTGGCTTAGCTCGCTGATCCGTTCATTGCAGTGGTATAACACAGGAAGCGACTGGTCCCGTAACTTTGTTCCCAGAATCGTTTAGCAGATTTGAAATACAGATTTGAGATAAGCGTTCGAAACCACCCACGGCGGTATACATCTCATCCTGAATGGCGACAGCGACCGAGTATCCTTCCCTTGTGAGATCAAAAGTTTAAACATCTGTCCTTCACCCTAACCCTGACCACATAGGGGTACAACTAGAGGATACCACCAAGCTAATTCAAAAATTAGGTTGAAAATTTTCTAAAAGTTAGTATCCATGGTTCCAAGCACAATATTCCCTTTTACACAAGTGCAAATGCGCTACATTAACATAGGACCTCACGAAATAAATCCTACAATAACCCCTGGCACACAGGTGCATATCCTTGAGGGACGTGGAAATTCGTACAACTACCCAAGGGGCTGTCCTTTCAAAGTTAGTGTTCATGGCCACGCACAGCTCATACTACACTGAGTTCCTTCGACTACATGGACTGCAGAGGTATTTGTTTTGAATACATCGGAGTACTCTTCATGCCCTTTCACAGCCCCATTTCACACCCCAAAAAATGATGGCCGCTACAGAAGTGTCAGGGAAGAGGCTCAGATGATAAAGGTTTATAATGAAAATCAGGAGCTTATGTGGCTCCGCCCCTTATGGCCAGAGCCCCCAGCACACGCGATAGCGTGCGTAGCCGCCTGGTCAAAAATAAATCAAAGGGAGAATGCTTGTCAGTTACGCGACCACTTATCCCCTATTATATAATCGGCTAAGTGTGTCTGTTGGTGTGTTTTTGTGTGTATGTGTGTGTGTCTGACCGGAAATTCATAACTCCTGTCGCCGTGGACCGAAAGCGGTCAAATTTGGTAGGAGTACAGACGGCAGGATAGGAACACTAATGGTGGGTGGCAGGACCAGACCCCGCCCGAAGGGGGCGGGCATTGCGCAAAAATTGTCAATTCTGCCCCAGAGCGTTCAAACTTGGTAGGAGTGCACTCGACAGGATGGAGACTCTTACTACATGTGGCAGGAAAGAACCTTGCTCACAGAGGCGGGGTTTGCGCGAAAATGGACAATTTGGCCATAGGGCGTTCAAAGTTCTCCAACTGCACGAAAATCACGGAGGCACGCTTCCTTGGCTCATCTATCCTTTTTTCTCTGAATAATCGCCTTTGTGATATTATACGATGTTCTTACCGGACACAGCAAAGATGACTTACGGAAAAAATCGCTCCAAATTCGGAGCTAATACTGAGGGTGTAGAGCTTTCAAGGAAAATGGAGAATCCGATGGGTAATTTACGCTTAGCAAATTTCTCACAGGAGGACCGCAATGCGAAGCCTGGCGACACCATATCCCCTATATAAGGTTAGCCTTTGACCGTAAATTTTGAACTCGAGACGGCCGATCTACGTCGCTCATTAGAGCCGGTCCTGTTAATCAGGGAAGTACGGTGCTCTTAATCTACCTAGGATTGTGTGACGTTTAAGTTGACCTCAAAGATATTGCGTGATGTGGAGATGTTTGATCAGGAATCAAGCTCCGGAGAGGGCTGAGCCGAAACGTGAGCCATCGAGGTATTGTGGGCCTGGTACGAAGTATTACCAATAAAGTTGCTTCTCAATGACTCTTTCTACTTCGATCTCATGATACTGAAGTGTAAACTACCTTCAAGGAGCTGCGAGTGCCCTTCCTCAAATGAATAGGAATGCTCTGATCGCGGTAGGATTTTTCGCGTTTCTTCGAATACAAATCACACAGGTTAAAATCGATGTGTTCGGACATTGACAAGGAGTTCGGTTGATTTGCTAAAACAGATATGACAGTACTAAAATAATAACATATTACCGATAGTGCACGAAAACCTTTTTGGAATTCGAGAGGGTTGCTTTCCGTCTTGATTCTCATCGTCTCCACATCAACAAGTCGTCCCATCCACGCGGCCTCCCTTCGCTGCTGTTCTTGGTCTTTCAAACGGGCGTCATCCCTGAACTCGAGAATCTGGATTTTGTGTACTGCTCTAATCTGGATCTGCTAAAAAAGCTTCTAGATCCGGCTTGTTTGCTCTGTGGTGAAACAAAATCGAAGTAAGACTTCAAATTTTCAGTGTTGATAAACTCCTTTTCTAAAAAGTATCGCTTTTCTTCTGACTCCTTTACAGGCTCGTAGTTGCATTTAGGATATGTGGTCTGCGCAGTGACTTAAAAGGGTTATTCAGTGTTTAGTCACTGCCTTTGTTCTACCACAACTGATAGAATAAAGCCAGTGACTAAATACCAGCTAGCCACTTCAAGACATTGCATAGAGTCTGGTCTAATGAACCGACTGCAGAGGGATGGAGGGCTTGGTTAGCCTGGGCGAGAATCGAGATCCGATCAGTCTTTCCAACGTGCGTTTGTGTGTGCGTGTGCGATAAAGCTTAATTTGCCACTGTATACATACGCCTGTCCCACAGACAGTATTTATTAAACTGTGAAAATAGTAGCCCACTAAGCACGCTATCGCGCGCATCAAAAAAGATTCCGGACAGTAAAATATAAATTTTCACCTTAGCTCGCTGCCATCATGGAGATTTGACAGCTCTTCTTGAAAATTTCCATCGGCTTTTGCCGGGCACTGATGTTTTTCGAGCAGAATTATAACTTGGTCCTGCTCTGCTCAGATAAGGGCACATTTCGTTCATGAAGAAAATGCGATTAATCAATAGTGATGGTTTATAACTACTTTTATCAGATACTTAAACGTTATTGAACATGGTCATGATTTTGTTCTTAGCTCTGCCAAACTCGGTGAGCGTTCCGTCCATCATGAAGATTCGATTGCTTCCCATTATACTCTCGACGGCTTCTTACCACCGTTCTGAATCCTATAATGTCTCTGAAGTGTTGTGGATTTTAGACTTCAGCTCCGCTGGCTCCTGCGCACATCCTACCCACATGGAAGATTTGACCACTCTTCTGTCCTCTCTTCGTCAGCCTACATCCACATTTTCTGAATTCTCGACGTTTTTGAACAGAATCATGAACCTGTGAACACAACTCCGTCCGTTTCGGCGCTCGCCCTGCCCTCTGCAAACACTTGGCCATTTTCTTATAATGACATCTGACCTTTTATATGGATTCCAGAGTCTTTTCGAACCCGGTCATGATTTCTTATCTCAGCTCCGCCCAACATAAGCATTTGACCACTCCTTCCTTGGTAACCTGGACTACTTCTTTCACAAGTCTGAACCTTCATAAACAACTCATGAAATTCTGCGAAAGGCATCTCCGATGCAACGGCACTCCCACACTTTATGAGCAGAGCTTCGCTTAGTTTAGGCATGATTCATAGACCTTGATCACTTCAATAGTTTTTCTTAGCTTGCAAGCTGCTGGAATCGAAAAGTAATAACACACGTCGAATACTAGAATACCGTGGTTTAGCAAACTTTGTGACGGTACGGAATGAATGGTGGACCACCACCACATAAGTGTGTACAGGGTGGGCCAAAATTATGATAACACGGACATCACATTCTCGAAAACGAATGGAAAGCTAATAAAGCAAACCAATTTGAGGAAAGCGTTTATCACTAGTCTCTTGTCGGAATAGTATTCACATTGGAACTGGGAACTGTTGCTTTCTGCTTTCACCCAATCCCAGAGACGACATTGGACGGCATTGACGGTGGCACGCAGCTAAAGTCATCGAGTTGATCCCGGCTTTCGCGAGGCATTTTTAAGATTATTTCACTTCTGGTTTGGGCTAACGGATGTTTTCATCTCAAAGGCTGACCACACTGAGACATCTATAAGATTTAAGTCAGGGCTTCAGAGTGGTCACTGATCGAAGATCATGAAGTCAGGGAACCACTTTTCACGAAATTTCTAGACTATTTATGATTTGCGGTCAGGAGCTTTATCTTGACAATATGCCCGGTTTGAATCACCAAAGTGTCCTATAGCGCACAAAAAATGAAACAGGCTTTTAAAGGCTTAAATCAACTATTACTCCTTAATTTACAATAATAATCGATGTTTTTGCCTCGGCGGTGACGCTCGCAAAGGCCATCGCATAAAGGCATTGAGCCTAGCGCTGCATCAGTTGCATTTCTTTCAGCTTCATACAAATCTCGTCGCTCTGCTTATTGCGCCACCTTTTTCACCGTGAATATCTTTTCGTCGGTGAACAGAAAAAATTCCGTACAATTTTTCTGATACGGCTAGGCAGCTTTTCCGAGCCATCATTTCTCTTCTCTTCATCCTGCTCATTGGGGAAATCACTTTCCGATCGTATAAAAGCCTTGTTGTGCAGATGATGCTTCACGATTTCTCGCAGAAAACTTCATGAGACATCCATTCATTTAGCCATTTTGGGCTCAGAATAAACTTCGCTACGCAGGCCTTCGCCCTGCTTCCCTAACACTCCCCCTAAATATAAACGTCTTATGGTTGAATGTAGCAACTGCTTGTTACGCTAAGTCGTCTGTAGATGCATTGTGCCAAAAGTGCTTGTAAATGCAAAGCGACGATTGATTCATGGGGTAGTGACGCTTACATTATTTTCAAAATCTACCAAAGGTTTAGTATAATTGGGAAGGTAATGATGTAATCCACCTTGTGGAATGGAAGAAAGCGAACGATGAATGTATTGGGTTGATCGAAAAGTCCTGATAGGATTTTTTGAGCGGTATTTTCAATTTTTCTCCTATATCCAGGATCTATCATGTGATAGTTGTGTAACATTTTGGAAGCTTCTCGCAAAAGGTATACAGGGGTGGGTGCGCTTTGCCGAGTTTAAGCATGATGTCAATTCGCACGACTATCTTCGAGCCATCACCTATAAGCGGCACAGCGCCACTGGAGCGACAGCAACAGTCCACAACATAAAAAGCGCATTGGGGGAAGACACACCCCCGTCGCTACGGTCCACTGCTGGTCGCTTTAGTTGGGCTGCACCCCTCTCACTGGCTGCTTTTCTTCACTATTCCTTATTCTTCGAGTTTTTCGTACCCAGTGGGCTCGCAATCACCAAATAATTCTATACACAACGTGGGACAAGAAAAACATTGTTAATTTCGAAAAACTACCAACAAATTCGATCCTCTCCCTAAAAGTTACACTTTTGCGCACTTTTCGAAAACAGTCAACGCAAAAATGACTTTAAAATCTACTACCCCTAATACTGACTCGAACTGACTACTCGAAGTAATACGAGACGATTTTTGGTTTCAGCAGTAATCATCTATCATGAATGGTAGAATTCTTCATTGTCTGCTGTCTATCAGTTTCTCCGACAACTCGCGAAAGTGTCTCCTCAACCAAAGACGGTTCGTAAAACTCAATTTGTCCGTGGAAACAAACGAACTATCATGTAGACCAACTCGTTGAGGGAATACTGTCTTTATGGACTCTGTATCACTTAACCTTCCGTCTTCACTTTTTTTGCCTGATACTGCTAATGCCTCTGTAGTTTTCATATCAAATTTAATATTCGCGAGTATACTGAGGGCACAACTGCGGGAGAAATCGGTGCTTAAAGGCCTCTCTCTACTTTCCTCGGATACGACTAATAGTCTTTCAAAACCACCATCCAAATCGTCCATGCATGCTGATCATTTCGAGTTCCGGAGCTATAATGCATAATGCATAAAATCACAACTAAGTAAAGTTGAAGGCTCATAATCATCCAATTTACACCTATTCCGAACTATATCACAAAAAAAGCTTGAAATAGCAAAAGCGCTGTCATCAAAGGGTTAAGGAAGGACATACGGGCTTTGAAGACAAGCCTCGGCCTGAACGCCCCCTCTCCGTCGACCGTNCGTCATTCTGGACACTGTCAAAGAGGATCCAGAAGTTAACACCCGCAGTCTTGCGACGAGACTCGGGTGTGCCCAGTCAACAGTCGTCGGTCGCCTTCAGGTTCTCGGTTACAGAAGGGTGCTTGCTCGATGGATACCTCATACCTCATGTCTTGACCGATAGCATGTGTCGGTCTCCGTTTGTGAGACTCTCCTTCTTCGCCACATCGCAAAGAGCTTCTGGAGCAGCTAGTTACAGGAGACGAAAGCTGGATCCTCTACGACGCTAGCAAGAACGGCGCCGTCTGGCTCTCGCGAGAAGAACAGCGGCGACGCAGGCCAAATAAGGCCTCCACCCCAAAATGTTCCTCCTTTGCTGCTTCTGTGATTCTAAAGGAATACAGTGATATGAACTGCTCAAGAAAGGCCATACCGTCACCGTTCCCTATTACGGTCAGCAGCAGAAACTTGCGTAAGCCGTTTGAGAAAAACGGCCTAGACGAACTTAGGTGCACCTTCTCGATGACAACGCTAGGCTTCACAGAGGTAAGGAGATCCTTGCAAAGTTGGTGAAACTAGGTTGGGACACGGTCCCACATCCACCCTATTCACCTGATATTGCCCCGCCCCTCAAGGCCCTCCTAACAAAAAAAAAACAGTTCGTCATCTACAACCACCTTGAACAAGTGGTCGGTGAATTCTTTGACCACCAATCTTCCCAGTTCTGGAAAAGGGAATTGCTAACCTGCCCGTTAGATGGGACAATATTATAACCAACGACGGTTACTATATTGTTATTTGGCCTGCATCGTTTACTGAGTTGTAAAATAAAACAGAAAAAAAATCTCAACCTTATCAAGACTTTTCGATCAGCCTAATGATATCCCCCCACCTCCATACATATATTCTATTTTGATCCTTTCAAATGAGAAAGGGTCTCTACCTACTACCAGTAAAGAGGAGCGTAGCGATGTCAGAACTATACTTCAGAACATCTAGCTCGGAATGGAATCGATCGCGAACCACAGAAAGGTCGAAATCCCGAGAAGGTGTTTTAAGCCTGCTCTGCCTTTTGAATGACGTATCAATTGGCACGCCCGAGAGACAGTCATTCCTTATGTGACTGGAAAATCAATACAAAATTTCAAAAATCGACCTCAAATGTGTCATTATTTCGTTGCCCACGACAAAAACATTTCGACAAAAGTATCTATGTCAAGATGTACATTGCATCCGAGCTCCTGATCATTTCCAATGATTTCACTGCCTTTCAAATCACTTCTGCCATTACATTTATTATAATGCGCACTCATAACGAGAGACTCACAAGGACTGGGTCATGAAAACACGCATATATCCAACTCGATGTTGAAAACGTCCTTGTTGCCATTTCGACTCGTCTGTTTCGATTGCTCGCATATAACGTTTGAAATGAAAACGATCGTTCCGCCCGCAAAGTAGCTAAACATACTACTAGATTGGTTGGGAAGTAGGTTAATGGATACGGCCGTACACAAAAAACAGATTCATATGACAAAACCCTATGGTCTAAGGGAAACATTCTTACACTACACGTTTATCAAACTTCAGGTGAACATCTCTGTTATACCCGTATCCGAATGAGCGCTTGGTTTCTAAAAACATCTAATTGTAAGCCCATAGCACTGATTCATTACAAAATGTCTTTACACATTATTTGTACAACCCTCTTTACTTTCAATATTGAAACACCACAAGACAAGAGAAAGCTCTTTCTAAAGAAAACTAGTCGTGTCGCCCGGCTAACGCCGTGCTTCCCTCCTTCTTTGATAAATTTTTAATTATCGGCTAACTCTACACTCGTTTTTTGGAACAAATAATACTTTTCTGTACACAAACTTTGACGCAGGGCTAACAGGGCGGTGCAAATGCTATTTAGTGAATAGTCGGCGCTCACGCCTTTGATGGAGGTGTCGATCTTCTGCTCTCTTTCTTAAAAATAAGTATCCATCAAAAATTCAACTGTTAGACAACCAAAGCCTTTGCCGGTGCTTATAATGTTTCGAGCGGTGATAACATCACTATCAGATGTCGTCATCAATGGACCCTTCTTTTCATGGAGATATTAAATAAGAATTCAAAATTACTGGCAGTCGGTTTTCTTGTAAATGATATTGAACAGAGGAGATTTTTCATTAAGTCACAAACCTTGCTAGGTAGCAGTCGTAATCTAATAGCAAGAAATAAACAAAATTCTCATCTGCTTACCGTACTGCCGTTAAGTCCATATCACTGCACTTACCACTCACTTTTGTCACCCTTCACTACCATCCCGACCTATCGAATGAAACATACTGAACAGCCAAAGCTACGTCGTAAATACCGAAGGGTTAGAATTTTGATCAGTAGGTGGCTCATGATTTCTTAGGCCCCTTATCTTCTCTTATCAGTTATTATCAGTACTTGTCATCGAGAACCTACGATCCCGTCATATCCTTCATCACTTATTGTAATGCCGAGGTTCCACTTCTAATACGAAAAGTGTAATCCCACCAAATTTAAACGATCTAGGTCTACGCAAACAGGAGTAATGAATACGCGGCCCAAGATTTCTATCGCGCACGCCCCGCCCCTGTAAACGGAGTTCGGTCCTACCCGCCATATATCTTTCTATCCTGCCCCCCGTACTCCGGTCAAGTTTTAGCAAGCGCGACTTTTTCGAGAAACTCAGTTAACTTTTCACTTCTGTAATAGTAAATAGCTCAATCGATTACCTGGTTCACACTCACCCGATAACCTTGTTCTCAATCAGTTTCATGGGGAATTGGAATCCTTCCTTGGCAGGTAATAGGATGAGGGTTCCGAGATCATAGGGTAGTGTGGGGTGCGCACCAACATTCACATTTACTCAACGCTAGTCTACTCAGTCTGACGCAAAAGGTGTAGCAAATTCACTGGAGAATTTGACGTTACGGGTGATGATATTGTTCACTCTAAAGTTACAGCTCTTTTGTTTGCTTACTAACTGCAGAAAAAAGGAGGAGCTCACCTGTCGCCTCGCAGCAAATGTTAGCTCTGTCAGACAAACCAACTGATTTTTCGTATCAGCCGTCGCAACACTAGGAAACTGAAGATTTCTCCCAGCGATGGAATGCAAATAAAAACTATGCACAATGTTTAATGATCAACCAACTCGTGTACGTCTTCAATATCGATGGCATCATATGGTTGCACGATAGGCCAGAACATTCCCTCCGTCTTGTCAAAAGGGAACTTGGATCGTTTTGGATTGGCCGAACCCCACCTGGGAATAACGTGAGCATCTGAAACAAGCTATTGACAGTGTAGTTTTGTAATTTGCTCTACATGGTTTCCACTTTTCAAATATGAGAATTATCGAATGATCAACTCTTTTTATGAATTGACCGTCAATACCACTTGTCGAGATGATCAAATGTGCCAATTAGGACGATATAATCTCTCGCAGGAGAACTGTTACTTTCTAAGCTTTTTGATTTTGCTTGGTGATAATTTTATTTCCAGATTGTAAGAACACAAATAAGCCTGCCGTTTTCCTTGTTTGCCAAAGGTAAATGTGAAAGCATATTGACCAAGCCTCCGCATAATTCATGCAACCCACGTATCATCTCAAGTTCGAGTGGTTGTAGCTCCTTTTGCTTGTTCCACAAAAACTGCTCGTCAGCCTAGAGCGTATGAAGTACCAGTCAAACATGGGAGAAAAAATAAATCTGAGCGTCTGCTCTTACACTCAGCAATTTGGGTTCATATGAAGTTCTGCGACAGTTGCCTCGTAGAGCTAATCGAGGTCGGACATTCGATGATGACCGTTCTGTAATGCATCTGCGAAAGCATGTTGCCCGGACGCCTGAATAACAGATTTTTCAATCGATCAAACAAAGACTGAGTGATGTTCTAGAGAAAACATTCACATCTACCGCCAACTTCATTCCCATCGTCGTTCGCGGCTGTTGTTGGAATCGTTTTCTTCTCTCTTCAAAAAAGGTTTTAATAATGTAAAACGTGGATATAAGCGAATCATCATTTTACACAGCGGAAAAGCGATATTTTCCCTTCTGACAGGCGCAGAATTTGAGCGACAGAATGGATTTTGGTGGAACTACCCTGCACTGACGTTCATTTATAAAATTGAAAATTTTCTCTTTCCTAGCATGGGTAGAGATGATAAAATAGCTTTAACCCATAGCATATTGCATGCTATGTTCTCAAAAAAAAAGTGAAATACTCGAAGACAATAGATAAAATTCAAATTAGGAAGTTTGAAAACAGTCCAGTAGGATCAACCGAGGAAAGAAAACACTGATATCCTATGAGGAGAAAACAATGAGATGTGGGCCGCAAATTGCAGTAGTGATTTGGATAAATGTCATGTTGACCGCACTGATTATTGCGAATCTTGGATGCGATTGGTTCAAAGGCACTCAAGAAGTGTGCAGATGATGAATTAAGGAAAGAATTCAAAAAATCAGCGATCGATATTGTTATTCTCGCAGTAAAGGCATTAGCACTGTTAGATGCAGTGTTGCAAGTGACCATATTCGCAGTAAATCTGCTCGAAAAGACAAATTGCTTCGACTGTTATGATGAACGTCTACCCCTTGAACGTCAGGATTAAAGATGCTTCAGCCTCAGAAAATCTCTTGCTATTCCTGATATTACAGCGACCATTCAGTTGAGAAAAATACAAAAGTCAATGCCGACAACTGTGTGCGAAGGTACTGATGAGATAGTGATTTTGGGAATGAACGATGCACTATAACTTTTTGACATTAACTTAAAGCCAACAGAAGAAGCTCAACAGGTACACAGCCACGGCGTTGGTGAATAAACGTCAGGATTTGCTTTTGCAGACTGAAGCAGTACATAGATTTCCATAGCCTCTGAGCGACAGACCTCTTCTGAGCGGATCTTTGATCTGTATTCCTGTACTCGCTTGCAAACATCGGCTTTATCCTCGCAGTTTCCTCTTATGATACATGGCTTCTTGACACTGTGGATAAGGGAACAAGATATACCTAAAACGGACGGCACAACAGAAGGCTCAGGAGAAGTCGTTGGGAAGTGAATGAACGTGTACTCTTCGAACCAGATGGGAACATGCAACGTTTATACGCAAAGAATAGGGGGCAAGGATGTCCGAGTGGGTGGGAGTGAAGACTTAGGCAGTGCCTGCACCTAAAAAGAGCACGAGCTTGGTCCGTGACTAGACGAAAACCACGCCTCGCAAAAAGGTATAGGTACCAGCATCAGGCACAGGTCGAGGGGCCAATTGATGGAGAAAATTGGTCACAACAATCAGACAGTATCTGTGAAAACCTAAAAAGTCACCGGGAGGTGGCGCGCAGCACCCTCGCTTGAGTCCTCTGAACGGTATGCGAGGGCTACCGAGGAGTGAACGACCTCGGTCAAAAGGTATTTCGAATTGGACCCCCCGCTTGGTGCGAATTCTTGATAGGTCGCTGATTCTATGAGGCGTAGGAACGTCCAAGTCCTATTCGTTCAGGAGACCTGCTGGGAAGGAGCAAAATCCAAAGAAATCGCAGGGGGCGTCAAGCTCCTCTACAGTGGAGAAGTCAACAAACGAAATTGTGTGGCTACAGCAGTGGCGGAGTCCCTCAAAGACTTCACCTCCGCCTTCAGAATCAGCAGTCGAATCATAGCTGAGAGGATAGATACGAATGAGAGGTACTGAACAATACTAACCGTGTACGCACCACAGGCCAGCTGCCCTGTTTACTATAATAGAAGGATGGGTTCTATCTGAGCCTTGACGAGGCCATCCGATGAGTCACGGAGGGGGACGATCTCACAAGAAGGAGCTTTGAGAGGATCCACGGAAGCATGGAACAGGAGTTAGAAACGAAGCAGTAGAGGGAAAGAAACAGAAATAGACCAGCTTCCGTGGAGGGATCACCTCTCAAAACTGTAAAGGACATAAAAGTACTGCCTGAAGGATGTCCGGCTCCACAGCATAGGCCTCTTCTGGCAGACATAGCCATCGATCTTACCATGAAATCTAGGAAAAGAACCGAACGGAGGATCCGATGGTGGAAGCTGTACCGAGTGATAAGGGAACACTTCAAAAGAAAGACTTGGAAGTTGGGCTTCCAGATCCCGAGGGCCTATCCAGCAGGCCTGAAGCAACGCCGTGAAGGTCATCCTACATTGTGCAAGGGGAACGCTGGGGAAAACCCTAAGTGGATTCCGAAGGAACAATGAAGCTCAGTTCTGGAATGATTAAGTTCAGCGAGTTGTGAGGTAGAAAAAATCGGCCTACAAGCCTGGCAGAGGACACGAGCTCTAGAAGACCTAGCTGCCTATAGAACTGCAAGGAGCCTCGTCAAGGCTGTTGTAGCGAAAGCGAAGAATACGGAAATGGGTGTCGATGACGGTACGAGAAGCTCGATGGTCGAGAAGTAGAGAAGATAGTTTTCCGCGAATGAAAGTGCGGGAGAGGCTTGATCAGGACATCGTGGTGATGAAGCGAACAGCGAGGAGGCAATGCTGAGAAAGCATAGTGAGGTCAGGCGTAGGTGGAATACTTCAACATGCTCTTAAACGACGAATTCGCCCGTAAGAATGGCTTCCGATTTGAGGCAACGGCTGGCCCCATAAAACTCTAGACAGTGACAGAGGATGAGGAGCTTAGAGCAATAGGAAAGCTTAAGGGTAAGAAGGCAACCAGTCCGGATGGGGTGCCGATCGAGGCATGTAAGACGATTGGATTGCGCGGGGTAATACCGTTCCCATTTTCGAGCAGAAGGGACGCGATGGAGTGCTCTAAGTACAGGAGGACTAGGTTGACGGCTCACACAACGAAATTGTACGAGTGGCTGGTCGATTCAAGATTAATAGAACTGGTCCCAAACTCACAGGAACAGTTCGACAATAAGCTTGAAAGGTCTACAATACAATCGGATGCTATATCCACAGATAGACAAGTAATGGAGAAGTATCAAGAAAAGCATAAACTCTGCTACACAGCCTTCCTCGATCTGGAGAAGGCATCCGCCCGTCTGAGTGGATCACTGAAGAATATCCTTTGCTGACATTGCACTGATAGCGGAGCACAACGAAGAATTCCAAGGCAGCTGCGGAAAATGCAGAAATGGCGGAAAAAGAGCTCCGGCGGAATCAGAAGAGACCATGTTTCTCAGCTCCGAAAAGAGCATATAGTCAGTTGTCGGTCTCGGAGAAACCTTCAGAAGGGTTCAGGACTTTCGATAACTGGGGAGTGATCTAGCAGCAGCAACTGATGGTAGCATGACCCAGGCCGTAAAAGGCCGGATAAACACGGCATGGACGAGGTGGAGGGAGCCCACCGGTATCCTCCGCACGCTAAAAGTAAAGGTGTATCGGACAATGGCAAGGTGGCAAGACCCATGATGCTCTACGCAGCGGAGTGTTGGCCCGAACGTAAGAACTATGAGAGGCAGCTCCACACCACTGAAATGAGAATGCTCAGATGCCTGTGGTTATACGCGTCAGGATCGGATCAGGAATAGACACGTCAAGGAAAGAGAATTCTGATACCCACCAAGAATGATTTCGGTTATGTTATTGTGTCATATTGTTAGTATTTGATCACATATATTGATAACAATATTATTAATGTCAAACTGGTGGTTCAATTACACTGTTTTACTTTCCTTCAAGTTGTTTCTACTAAGTGAGGGAAAGATAGACAGGAGGCCCAGCTGTCACGTGAGATGTCAGTGTAGGGACAAGATGAAAACATACCCAGATTCTGTTTTCCGCCTTGGATCAATCACAGAAGCAGATTGGTTAGAACCTTAAAAGAAATAAAAATGAAAAGGACTAACAACATACGTCAGCGGAATTATTGATAATCAGCTTACGGTTGAGTTCCTCGTCGGAAACAGGAACTAACTTCCACTTGGTTCTGGAAAGCGCATTTTGTTTTTATACAACTCAAATGAAAGGAAAATTGTGAAAAAAGCATCCCATGAGGATTGCTATGAGTAGTATTAGGGTGTCCGTAGAGTTTTGAGAAGATTTTGACCTCATTTTTGATAGCATGTTGCTTGCGAACGCGCCAAAGAAGGACTATGGATTCGGTAGCGGGGAAAGTAGCATTGTTCATAGATCAATACTATATCTAATCGGTATACGACCTGTTCATTCGAATAAGTAATCGTAGACCAAACAATGTGCTGTCGATACGACGGTAGCGGTGCGCCTTCTCTTGTCGCCTACCTGAAAGGCTCGATTGCTTGCTCTGAGAAGAGAATTGCTTCGACGAAGTTCGTCGACGTGAGCGTTCACTGTCCTCAAATCTTCTGGCCTCCCTTCAGCGCAATTCTGCTCAAAATGGCAGGATTTCGAGAAGACGATCTCTACTCCCCGACTCATCATTCACGACCTTCTACGCGGGGTCACTTTCAAATCAGGACTCTGCAAATATCGCACATTCTGACTAAGCAGGAGTGACTAAGCATTGTCAAATGCGAGTCAGTGCTTGTCAGATACTCCTCGATTGTATGCGAACGACGATATCAACCGACTCCATCACTGCTCAGGATATAAAGTAGATGTCATATGAGAGTCAGCACAGGAAATCGAAATGCCTAACAGTGGACCTAAGGCCACAGCCCGCTATAAAGCGACGCGCTCCCACCAAGAAAGACATGAGCTAATCCTTCCTCTGCTCAACCGGGTGTTTTCTGAGGAGATCCCACCAGAGTATTCTGGGGAGCAAGAGTATCCTGTGACCGGCTGAGAGAAGTGGTGTCTTGAACTCCCATTTCACACCGATTACAAGGAAATTTTCGATTGCGATGGATAATGCTTGACCATTCCTGGCGAAGACGTCGATGGATGAGTGGAGAGACTTGGCATAACCTGGCTACCCCGATCCCCACACATTCATCTGACTTAACCCATATGGTTGCCTTACTTTCAGAAGTCCATAGGCCTGTTCTACAAGAAAAAAATTCACCATTTGCCGAGAAGTCAAGTAGGTAGTAGACGAACGAATTACCTCGCGCCTCTCTTTATATTGGAGAAATGGCATCAGTGCCCTATACGGTTGTTTGAGAGACATTGTGGCTAGGAAGGGCCACTATCTTGATCACTGATCGAATTTTGTTGCTGTAGTTATTTTGTGTTTAAAAAACCGCTGAATTTTCTCAAAACTTTTCGGACACCCTAATAGAAAGGGATAATGTATGTCATCTTGAGTCGCTCACCTGGAATTCCTCAGATCAAAAGGAGCAAGACGACGAGAGACTGGATCTGCAATACTACTTAGAATCAAAGTAGTACTGAAGTTTTGAGAAATCAATGATTGTTCGAAATGACATTCAAGATTCGTATGGTAACGCTTTCTTCTATACGTCAGGGCAGAGTTCACGATATGAATAGTTCCTGACATTTTCCACTGGTAATGATCTCAAGGATAACATAAGGGCCGTTATTGGGTTGAAACATGCTTGAATAGGACGTAAGCAGGAACGGAACGGCGTGCGCGAGAATTGTTCAGTTGGACTTTGAGCATTGATGTTTGAAAGGGGTTAGACGGCAGGCCAACTTCAACGAGGAAAGGAGGAGAACTCGGAGTGAACCGGACCATTTGACTAGTGCTGCAAATTCGTTCGATTCGTTCTGATCGTTACTCGTTCAGGCAGCGTCCTGCTTCATGGGGTGTCCTCGTACCCCATGTTATGTTGATCTTTCATTCTCTTTATCCTATTAATGAAAAGGGGGGGGGGGGGTTAAGCGTATCTCAGCCCCACCTCCTGCCGTTTGACGCCTGTTAAGGGACCTCGTTGGAAACAATGGATATTTTTAACGTCCACTGCGCTATATCACGATGTTTTTCGATGCGACATCATCCAGTATGAACGCCTTCCCATGAAGAATTCTCCAAGGCTGTATCCTTCCACTATCTCAAGACTAACCAGGGAAGGGTCTCAACTTCCCATGGACTTCGAATAGAGACCTAAGTATATCGATAGGGCTTGGAAGGTTATAAAGAGATATGGAAACTAAAACTGCAAAATGAGTCTACCAAAAAGTTGCGAGCATCCAAAGTTTGCATGCTTAAAGCATGGAGAGATAGTGCCAGTTGACAAGCCCAGTTGCCCGCAATGGCTCCAAGGGTCCCCGTGGCGCGGTGACATGCTCTCCCCTTCCAGGTGAGCAATGAGGGTTCGCTCCCCGTTGTCGTTTTTGCTTTTGCAAAAAGTGCTTTCATCCGAATAAAAGCTCCTGCACCGTTTTTTCTAATTTAAGTTAGCGCTTTCTTTCGGCTATCATTTGAATCACCTATCCATCACCTATTAGCGCACGTTTTCTCTGCCAGTTTTTCGGGTTGTTTCATCAATGTTGAGTTTTCTCGAATGTCCAAGACTATTTTACTTTGTGTTTGGTTATGTGTGTTTCGGTGTTGGAAATGAAAGAGCGCTACAAAAATGACGCGGAGAAGTTTTAAGTAAGTGCGGTGATGGGTGATAGATAGGTGATTCAAATGATAGCCGAGACAAAGCGCTAACTTAAATTAGAAAAACGGTGTAGGAGCTTTTATTCGGATGAAAGCACTTTTTGCAAAAGCAAAAACGACGACGGGAAGCAAACCCTCATTGCTCACCTGGAGAGGGAGAGCACTGTCACTACGCCACGGGGACCCTTAGAGCAATTGCGGGCAATTGGGCTTATCAACTGGCACTATCTCTCCATGCTATGAGCATGCAAACTTTGAACGCTCACAACTTTTCTGGTAGATTCATTTTTCAAATTTAATTTCTATATTTCTTAATAACTTTGCATGCCCTACAGTTTGAACCATTCCCTGGTAAGAAGAGGTGGTGTCAGGAATCACACTCATGAGAATACCTTTTGTCCACGTGAGCGATCGATCTGCAGGAGTGGTAAACATATGAAGATTATCCTTTCATAGTTTTCTTTGAGCCGCTCGATGGTACGAAGTTCTCAGAATGCACACTTGAGCGTGTTGGCATCTTAGTGGTGAAGTTAGCATCATAGAGGCCCAGCTCGAGAGCTGACCAGAAGACAATGGTATGAAGAGCGTTTGAGATCATCGAGTAGATACATACTGGAGACACCCAAGAACGTGGTTTCTGGCCCACACCTTTTAGAAGCGGATTCTGAGCAGGAATGACGGGCATGCAGTCAGCGCCATTCAACGCGCTCTAGTTGGGACAATGTTAGAGTTTTCTTATATATGCAAAAGCAGCGGAAATTTCGGAGACCCGATGACGAATTAGAAAACAGGAACGCTGCCGTCTACGTCAGGAAATCAGTCATTGGAAGATCCGTGTCGGCCGATTTCGTGACGATCGTTAGACGATGATCATGAACTGAATCTCGCACTACACAAAATCTGATTTCTTTGCGAAAGCTGTGATCATGATTAACACACATGTTCGACGACAGAGGTGATTCAAATATCATCAGTCGAGTACCTAACCTCGCATTCCGCCAGATGGATCGCCCACACGGACAAAAGGGTATACAAAATAGATCTGGTCCCGGCGCAACTTGTGAACACCTACACTTCGTCTTCAGACAGAAACTGCGGAAAGCTACCAAGGAAGAATACTCGACGGGAGGGAACTTAGATACCTAGTGACATCGAATCGGAAAACATCGTGCACACAGCGCATGTTCAAAATATTCAAAATATCCATTGCTTTCGGATAGGGCCCTTAATCAGGACCAAAAGGCATAGTGGAGGTGGGGTTGAGAGATGGATGGCAATGCACAATGCCTACGAGCAGCACTGTGATAAATGCAATATCTGATCATCTATCATTACTTTTTGAATTTTGTATCTCTGGCATAACCTGATAACTGTTGAAACAAGTGGTTTATAGAGGTGATCTCCAGCGTTTCTTGAAGGAACCAATTGTAAGCAAAGATCTGTCAGGATTCGACGATCTGAGGTAGCGAAAACCTTACCGTTCAAGGAAGAAAAGGTTGCTCGGAAAAAGTTGTCTGCAGACGAAATGCGAGCACCGTTTCGGCCATCGCACTCACCAGCCTCTTTCCTGTAAAGTGTAATGTCTACGGTACAAACTCAAATAGCGAAGCATAGGGTATAACTCGCTCAGCTTCAGTCAGCAATCGAAGAATTAATAACATACTTGACAGAACACATGTAAAAGGGGTCGTCTGTGCATGCATCGATTGAAGTTTCCAATGTGGTCTTTTTGATCGGTCTGCAAGTCTTAGCTTTTACGTGTTAGATATGTTTTCGACATCAAATTGTACAAACCGTGTGAATGGAGACTTTCCTATCCCACTTGTAGAGGTTCTGATGTAAGGGTCTTCATCGTATTCCGCTTTCATTCTTTTCACGTGACTATCGAACGCCTTTCTGAAAGCGCAAACAGTGACAATATCCATTGTAGTAGTTGATAGATTTATCCTAGTATACGTAACCTGCTCAGTGTGCCTGTTGGTTTGCCTGCGTGTTGGCGTGTATGTATTTGTTTGACCGTAAATTCACAAGAACTGTTCCCTTGGACAGCACAGATGGCAGCATTCAAACTTTGGTGGTAGGTATCAGGACCAGACTCTGCCAACAAGAGGCGTGAGCGTATCACGCTCATTTTACGCACGCTCCGTCCCTGCACTTCCCCTCCCAACACGTCCCATCAGACCCCCTATATCCTTCTCAAATCTGAATGAGTTTATCCAGTCAAGTTGAAGAAAAGATAGAATGAACCGAGTTATAATACTTAAAGGCACAGTCCACGATAAAAGTGGTTTCCGAGGTTCCCCCACAGGATGGGTTTGAGGGCCCTGCCTATCAAAGATTGGCCCTTTTGTATTCTCGGACGAGTTCACCGGCATTGTAAAGGCTGCGCCGATCACAAGAAAACCCATGTCGGAAGTTTAAACAGCTTGTCATGACCCATAACGACAGTGAAAGACAGTTCTGTACAGTTCCGGCATGACGTAGTCAGCTCTTTGTGCAATTGCAATAACTGAAATCTCGTCTGAATACCACTTCCGTGTTATTTCCGACATGGCAATCTCGTCCAACCTCTATTTCACCTACTTTTGAGGAGCCATGTTTTCCTCGAAATCGGCGGATTCGCTCGCGTTCCTCACTACCGCTGGAATATTCACAATCTATATTCCCACTTTCAGATTAAAAAGAAATACTTCAAAATGAACGTGGACAGTGTCTTCAAAGGGAGAGTTTACGATAAAAATGATGGCTAAAACTTCTCTATAGAATGAATTCGAGACACCCTTATACCATGCCTGCGCTTATAAGGTCAAAAAACGTCCAAGTTAGAGCAAAATAAGGGACAGACATTGCACATTGTGTGTCTTCCACACGCCGTTAGGCTGTGGCCGCTGAGTATGAAATCTAACTGCCGAGCACTAGTGTCCACATTGCAGCTACCTTGGCGGAAAATCACTCAGCTGATCGTCGGGTAGGTTATTATATTCAAGACTATTCTCTCATTTCACTGCTGCTCTTTGTGGTATCTAATAGCATTCTGAATACCTGCTCTGTTAGAGTGGCAGTAAATAAGAGAGTAACGAAGAATAATTCGTTCATACCAGGACCATCAGCTGGTTGGAAAACAATTATGAAGATTTTTGACTCACTTTAGTTAGCTATACGCGATGACATTGAATACCCTTTAATGCGCTTTTGAGGTCCCATTCTTGTCCGATCACCAATTTTAGCACTTTTTAAAAGCCTTATACCTCTCCAAATACGCCGTTTCTCACGTTTTTCGTCACCTTCCACTAGTCTCTACTGTGTGTTCATCAGCCGTTGAAAACCGGATACCTCGGAACTACCACAACCTGAGCCTTTAAACACGAATGAGCNACTCACAAGGTGTGTCGCATGTGTGTGCATGTTTAGCGGGATACTTGCACATCCTGTTGAAATGTGCCCGAATGCACAAACTCAAAAGGGATGTGGACGACAGGCCATCTCCAACACGAAAAGGAATAGCGCTGGCGTTAGCCGAGCGAACCGAATGGTGAGTTATAGTTCGTGTGCAAGTTGGTCAACATCTCCTTGTAAAAGAAGCAGCTTCTAAACGATGTCTCCTCATTGTTAGCTAGGAAATTATGGCGTATATTGTGGAGCACAGTAATGGATAAAAACGTTAACGCTGATGGTAAGCTCGTTTGAAAGCCGATGACTTGCTGACGAACGGTGATGCAGAAGGCCAAGGAACACTGACGGCGCGAGGTGGTCTGAAGCACATATGGTCTAGGGAAAACTTTAGTATGTAAGCTGCCCAAGCCAAATACACCTGGTTGAAGCCGTGTTACCGGACTCGTTTGACATGGTAAACGCACGAACTTGTGCTTCTGCTGGCCAGCAAGACAATGCATAAACGAACACCGCATTCAGAGACTCTTACGATTTCGAATGGAAGCTAAACTAGAGCGCGAAACCTGAGAGAAACTGAAAAGGAAACACCTAGTGTTTTTGCTACTATTCTAATTGACAAGGTGGGTATTATATATGATCTTTGTAGATCAGGGAATCGATTGCTTATGGGCACAGTTGTAATGGCAGGATGGACGGGAGGGTATAAAAGGGAATCATCCAGTCTTAGCGGTCCTCATATGAGAAAAAAAGACAAAGAAACACGTAAAAACTGTTGGAGTAGAGTTTCATTCTACAACTGGTTTCAAGGAGGATGCGGAGAATTCAAACAATGCTGCTTTCGCTCCATGTTTCCAAGCACAACCTCCCGACGATATGACAAATACTATAAAGAAGCAAATACGTTCAATGAACAAAACTAAGCCACTGTCTGTCAATCCAATCAAAGGCAGGACGTTCCGTCGGGATGTTGCCTGTGAACCCTAGTAACAACTTCATCAGGACAGCTATAGATGCGTCTTCTCTCCAAACGTCCCCCTCATGCTTATCTGATGACCCCTCATGCTTATCTGATGAAACCCTTTTGTAACGAGTACGCCAGATGCATTCGACCGAAGACTCATGAAACAACCAGTAGTACGTTCAGTAGTGCTTTCTGAACTTTGAATATACAGTGGCCTGTTTTGAGAACAACATGATATTTGTGAATAAAGGGGTTCCGAATGAATCCTAGTCATGAGCTGTTGTAATTAATTTTATTTTGAACCATTCACCGAGGATATAAAGAGTAAAAGTTGCAGGTTCACAAGACAAGCAAACACAAAATGCCTAGGTCTTGCTCTTCAACTAGAAAAATCTTATGTACAAAGCCGTCGCTGTAGCCCCATGACAATCTGTCCTCATTCACCCCTAATTGCTCGTGGGTGGACCGGGCCAAACAATTCGCAAACCGATATCATATTATACTAATACTGAGCATGGAAACACTTTGCCAGGTGACAGGACCGGCATGCGCGATAGAAATTTTAGGTCGCAGATTCATAACTCCTGTTCCAGTGGACCCAAAGCGTTCATAGTTGGTAGGAGTGCAGGGTTGATCAAGAGCCTCGTAAGGCGAGAGCCACAGGAACCGTTACTTACTTCGTGTTAACAGCAGAGCTTTGGCACTTCGGTAAGGGGTGTGATCAAAGAGGGACCGTAGATTTTTATTGACAGAGACCAATAACAACTGTTAGAGATTGATAGAAACTGATAGGAGGCGAGAGCCATTAAGTCTACAACGTCTTTTATATTAACAACTGAGCAATCCAGTAGATGGTGCAGGATGTGAAGGAACCGAAGTTAATTAGTGATAAGGACAGATAAGAACAGGCGAGCAAGCGTTACAATCCCCTTCGTTTCAACAAGGGAACCTTTCCAATGACGGCAATGTAGGATAAGACGTGGTCGTAGGTACTCTGTGGCAGGAACTGCTAACAACTGATAGGGGCTGATAAGGGGCCCTACAAAGCAAAAAGGTATTCATGATCAAACACTGACTCTTTGAAATGTTTCATTCAATAAGACGGGTAAATGCAGTAATAGCGACCGATCAAAGACATTTGCCCTTTACGAAATGAGAATATTGTTCATTTCTCGCTATTAAACTACATCGTTACGCAGTGAGCTTTGTGGTGCAATGAGTACCACGATTCCTTTCTGTTTTGTGAGATATCGCTTGTGATTGAACTCATCTGACCGCTAATAATTTGGAATTTCCGATTGATAAAAGATTCGAAAATGTTTCATTCATGACGTCTGTGATAGGCGTTATTATCCATTCCCTGCTATCATTCAAGACATTGGTTGTCAATCAGTTAGAGGCACAGTTCACGATAGGAAGGTTGCTGAGTTCCTCCTTTAGGAATACTCAGCGCCCCCCATGGGTGATAGAAGGGACCCTCTCGCTACCACAATCTCGGCGCTTAGGGCATAGTGGAAGCCCTGTTGCTGCCGTAGTTCGCTTTCCCGCCCCTCGATCGGTGCCACGTTAGACGAGTGTCGAGACAATACAGATTGCTATTATTCGTTCTAGGACCCACGCACAATCAGCTAATCGCCGAGTGATGAGGCGATGTTTTTCTCGCATTCTTTTTTCCTCTGTTTTTCTTTTTGCTGCGGCGAACCCTTATTTAATTTTCTATTCCTAGAGGCTGAAAAAGATGAGCTACTTTTTCTGTTACTAGGGTTTTTTGTTTATTTATGCTTATAAGTGAATGAATTTTTGCTTACATTGTCTGTTATTCGCACCAGTACCCACACGCGCGCAGTGAAACCCACTGTTTAGCTCGTCCGGACCCCCACTCTTCTTTATTTTTCTGGTTTCATTCTCGTCCAGCCCCCTTTTTAACCCTCACTGTCTCTTTATTTTGTCCCACTCCCGTGTGGGTACTGGTGCGAATAACAGACAATGTAAAACCCTCACTGTCTCTTTATTTTGCCCCACTCTTCTTTATTTTTCTGGTTTCATTCTCGTCCAGCCCCCTTTTTAACGGTTTTTCAAAGCCTTTTTTCACTTTGGAAACACCGATGCACGCAGTTTCTTCACCACAGTCGCACTAGTTTCGATCTTGTCGTCCATTTTTCACCATAATCTGGATTACCCATAGTTATCGTGAATTGTGCCTTCAAGCCATCAATGTGACACAATTTCGAAATGAAGAGCAATGAACCGAGACTTCTGATCTGATATATTTATAATACAGAAAAAATCGCTGCTATTCGGAGCTAATACTGAGGGTGTAGAGCTGTCGAAGAAAAAGAAGAATCCGAAGTGTTATTCATTAATAGCAAATTCCTTACAGGGAGGAGAAGCGCCCGACGAACACCATAAGGAGGGATGCCCGGCATTAGCCGGGCGGCCCGATTGGTGGCATATAAGTCATTAAGAAGACGAGGGAAAGCGAGCTCTCGCTAGTGTAATGGATGAGAGCACTGTGCCCGAAAAGTACAAGTATGGGTTCGAGTGTTTTTTCCACAAAAGATGTTGGATCATTGCCAGGATGCTGTTACGGATTCAGACATTTAGAAGGAGACTCGATCATATACCCGGGGTATGATCTATGCTCGTTCTTAGAATATAGCAAGGCAACGGCAGAAGCATAGCGGCTGTGCGAGGGTGCTGGGTAAGAGCTGTTTCGACCGATCCCTGCCTTTGATAAAGTGGCCAAGCCGGTCGCATGAACTGAACACGACAGTGCCTTTCAAGATATATTCCAACAATTTAAGATACAAGAGTGAAGTAGTCAGTCTGCTATGGCCTACAACATTCTCTGCCGAGACGACATCAGCGGCATTGTTTTTCTGAAATTGTATTTAAAGGCACCGTTCACAAAAATGTTAGGGTACCCTTTTTGACGGGAACTGATAGAACTACTCTAGAATAAAGCGATAACAACGAAAAAAGCGCAAAAAACGATGAACAAAAAGAATTACAAAGGGTCAAAAAAAGAGCTGGAAAGGGGGGTTGGACGAGTTTCACATTGAAAGAACGGCGGTTAGGGAGTGTTCGGGCGAGTGCACGAAGGCGACGCAATGTGTTGTCTGCAATAGCAGACAACATATTGGGTCTCTGGCAATTTGCCAATCAGCGTATCGATTTTTCACCAACTTCGCTCCAGTGCAATGTGGTGAAGTACAATTAGAACTCGTAGTCAGCCTAGCGAGGGGCGGAGGCCTCCCATCCCCCACTGTTCCTGCCCTTATTGTGCCCTATCCAGCCGTTTTACGACCTCATTCCTGCACAAATGGTATCAGACGGGGCTTCGAATTCAAACCATGTGCAAATCTCCGAAACCACTTTTTCGTGAGCAGTGCCTTTAAAGTGCCTGCGATACGTTCGACAGTAGAAGAGAGGTCAACGATGAGCCGTGATCAAGACGAAATTGGCATTAAGGGGCGTAGGAGTCGTTCTTTTCGTCCACTGAGTCTTAAGGTCCCATTTCAATCGCTCTCTGCTTTCGTCCACAAGCCCTCTATACCGGCAGAAGACTACGCCGTCCTCACACGACGACCAGCACCCCTACTCAGATAACATCCATTACCCTTCATTATTCTGGTTTTACTCCTGCTTAACAAAATACTCCTTTTCTGTTCAATAGGGAGCATAAGAAATAACTATATAAACAGGGTGGGCCAAAATTATGATAACAGCGCGCGATGACGCTCATACCAAATTTCTTCATAGCTTATAACAGTTCATTCGATTTCTTCCATTTTACCTGCACTATTTCCTCCCCAACAAGATTCAACTTTTGGCAGATTTTAAAATAATGCAAGCGGCACAACCCTCTCGATCGTCGCTTTCCATTTACAAGTGCTTTCAGCACGGGACATCTACAGACAACTCAACGTAACAAGGCAGCTGGCATATTTGACTGTACGATGCTTTTAAGAGTTGGGAAGAACTGCAAATCGATGGGCCTAAGATATTGGGCCTAGGGTTTCTATAAGAAGTGTCAAGGAAGCAGGGCGAAGGTCCGCGTAGCACTGAAGTTCGTTTCAAGCCGAGAATGGCTGAATGAATGGATATTTCATCAAGTTCAAAATAGTGGAGCATCATCTGCACAACAAGTTCCTCATACGATCAGGAGGTGATTTTCCAAGTGAACAGGTAACAAAGAAGAGAAAGGTTGGCTCACAAAAGCTGCCCTGTCGTATCCGAAAAAATCGTCACACAGATTTCGTGTTCGCAGACGAAAAGATATTCACGGTAAAAAGCTGCTCAATAAGCAGAGCGAGAAGATTTATAAGAAGGTGAGAGAATTTGAAGTGATACAGCGCAAGGCACACTGACTTCTGTAATGGCCTTTACGAGCATCACCGCCGAGGCAAAAACACCGATTATATTTGCAAAACAAGGAGTGGAAACTGATTTGGAGACCTGCTTGATCTCGTTGTGCGCAATAGGACTTTTTGGGATTCAAACCGGACGCATTGTAAAGGTGAAGTTTCTAACCGCAGATCGCTTTTCTAAAATTGGTTTGCTTTTTTAGCTTTCCGCTCGTTTCCGGGTGCGTGATGTCTACGTGATCATAATTTAGGCCCACCCTGTACATCTTCACCCTATCGATAAACGCCTAGTGTTAGGTCACTCAGTAAGGGCCACTAATGTACCGTTTGACAGTCATGTAGACCCGACTATTTTTGTGAAGCTTTGTTGCAACATTGCTGCAGTCTTAACTTTCTCTTCTACTCCTCATTCGCTGAAGGATAATGGATGGCTTACAAGAATGTAGGAGAAACAGATGAGCTTAGCTCGTCAAAACAGTACTAACTTGAATCCCACCCTCTTCAAAACATGAAAGCAGCATCTGAGGAGAACTGGTGACCTCGGATCTACAATGACCTCCAATGGTTAGCCTTGTGTCGCACAAGAAGCCTCATCATCAACAGCTCAATGAGAGGGGACCCTCAGGTATGTACATCTATAGGAATATAAAGAAAAATTCAGTGGGAACGAGTTGTTTGGAAAGAGCAATATGAAATCGAGGGTTACAGGCAACAATAGGTGGTCGTTTACAAAACCGCTCATTATAATAAGAAAAAAACTCGAAAGGCATGACCATGCCAATTGGATTGAAACGTCAACTGCGGTACCAAAAAAGTTCCGTAATTTAAGAAAAGGCTCATGAAAACAACGAGGCCGACTAAGGATGAATAATAATGCCACTGCATTATTTGCTTGGAATGTTGCTCCACGAATCACTTATCTACTGCTGCGCTGGGATAGAAGAATGCAAGTTCCTTCTCTTGTATAACATCGACTCTTGAAACCTCGAATAAATGAGGCTCTCGAAACCAACGATAAGTTGAACCGATCAATTGGATTGAATTTTAGTAAATTCCTCTGAGATTCGTATATAATAAGAACTACCATTATATATATTATATAACAGAGGACACAAACCCGACATTCAGTGGGTACCTAGAAAGGTTGGGCGGCATGAAGACGTCAGCATGCACAGACTGACGATTCGTGAACGTAGTCTTTGCTCTTAAAAAGGCGATATTAGATGACCTAACAATGAAAACATGACGAATTTTAAACTCGAACGGATCAAGTAAAGCGCCTCTCCAATATTACCTTGAAAAAAAAGGTGCACTCGATTTCTCAGCATTAGTCGGTGGCATAGAATCCCTTCTAAGATTTGGTTTCAGAATAACGGGAGAAAGACCCGGTACCTGAACGTAATCACTTTATTGATGATCGAATCACGAAAATTTTATTGAAACCTAAAAAAGGAAGAAAGGGTATGTAACAATTAATACATAAAAGCTGCCAGGGACGGACAATCCGACAAGCTTCGAGTATGCTATCGTTGGCATTCTAAATACTATATTAAAAGAGTATAGACTTTAAACTATAGAAATCTCATCTCGAAAGTAGCATATTTCAAAGAGCAAGCATTCTTGGTTAGGTTTTCTAAAAGTCCCTGTTCCAACGCGTGTTTCAACGGTCAACAGGTATTATACTACGAGCCAGTTCTCGAACAACTGAGCGCAAATGCAGAAACAATCCAGATTGAAGAAAAAAAAGCTACAGTGAAAAAATGTGAAAGAACACTGGTGTCATCAACCAGGCAAACATTACCGATGCCTTTTGAATTACCTCATTTTCTGACGCAGTGATCCCAACGGTATTGCCATGTTTTGTGGGAGTTGAACCGGATGGAAACTTGTCACTAAAACATGTGAGATCAACCTGAATCATCGTCCTTGTGCGCACCATTACGCAAAAATGCAAAAGCGCTGCCGCCTACCAAACCCGATTCTTGGCCCCTGTCTATGAAGCGTCACGCTTACCTCTACTCCAAGCCGCCACTGTTGGACTACTGGCGACCATGTTTTTTGTGCTTGCCCTGTTGAGCGTTCTCCGGAGACCACCTCCATAAGTTCGTTCAAAAAACCGCTTGGCAGACTTCGAATGCAGATTCGAATTCAGCATCAAAATACACGTCTAGTGGTGTACGTCTCATTTCAAATGGCCACTTTGACTTGGGATCCTTCCTTTGTAAAATATGTCTATTCACTTTCCAACCGAAGTGCAGGGAATGCGAGCGGAAGAATTCCAATTAGAGTGTTTGAAATAACACTAACACCCTAGGGGTCTTAAAACGTCAAGGCGGAACTCTTTCTGGAAGGCCATTCCCACTGCTCTATGAATTAGAGTTGATACTGAAGTTGACCCTTTGACGACAATGACACCCACCGGTGGGTGCCACTGTGACTGGCGTATAGGACATTGGCACCCAAGTTTGGATGCCGCCAAGCTTCTTTGTTTCTTACCAATAGCTAAATACAGTGAGCCAGTGAAAAAATTTTCTCCTGGGACAGTGCCACCCACCGGTGGGTGCCAGTCCCGCGCAAAAGGAGGGGAGCGTGGTCCCGTCGTGGTCCCACGTCGAAATCCCATGTCGTTAAAGGGTTAACTGATATAAGGCATGAAGCTGTTTCGGGAGCACTACACGAACAAAAAAAGGAAGACACGCGCATACATCGGGCACGCTTACTTTCATGTAATCCTTTGAGCTCACCACACTAGCAGCTGCATCATTGCTTCACGTCAGCCAGGTGCTCGAAAAGCTTCTTTTATTCGGTGGGTTCCCATTATTTCTCAGCGACGAAACACTTTCACAAGTTTGCTTTCATGATTGGATTGCAGATGTACACATCTCAGATTTAAATTCAGCCTTTTAAACACTTGCTGCCGTCTACATCTAACGTTATTCTGATTGACTGGCATTTGCGATCAATATATTTCTATTTATTGTCAATTGATCATTATTATCACTAGTTCCTATCTAATTTATACTTCTTCCAATGAGGTTGCCCGGCTGACGCCGGGCTCTTCACCTTTTCGAGTAGAAATTGGCCCGCCGCCTGTACCCCTTCAAAATTGCACGGTCTGGTCTGAGTGAACAGAAGTTATTAACTTCCGATCACACATGCACACATATGCACCCCACACCTACATACTCCGACACACCTCGTGGGCTTGCGCTCATTCCGCACACGTTCCACCCTCCCTTTCTATGCGCCTCCTCCTTCCCATCAGCAAAATTCTCATCTAACCGCCTGCACTCCTACCGAATTTGAATGCCCCAGGCCCGATCAACAATTTTCAAGCACGCCCCGAATTCTGTGGGCGGAGTCCAGCCCTGGGACCTTCCATTAGTGTTCCATCCTGCGCCTGTGCTGTCCACAGGAGCAGGACTTATGAATTTACGGCCAAAGCACGCACACACGTACACACTTAGCGCGTTATACTTTGTAGGATTTTAGTATTCTCCCCTTGTGAAACAACATATTCACATTCCAGACCGTGAATATTGACCTTCAACGGATGCGTACCACGCTTTTTCCTTATAGTAGCAAATCACCTCGAACGAAAAATTTTTGGAAGGACATGTTTTTGACGTGGCTCATGTAAAGAACTACACCAGCCCCTTGAGCCATTTTTTCGCTTTACAGTTCTAGTAAAAGAAGTGCTCAAATGTTCCCGAGAATGCAAAACTTTTCCGCACTAGTGAAGACGAAGACGCCTCGGCAGAAAAGTAAAGCTTGAACAAGAACGCACACAAAAAACCATAATACTTGGTTCCACATTAAATCTCCCATAAAATAAACTACTGCCCATAAGATAAGAAAGATAAAAAANAAAAAAGAGAGGAAAATAATTACCTCAGTCCAGAGGAAGGCAGGTCGTCCTCGTCTGAAACAATATTATATCCTTGGCTGTTCAAATACGAAGTGAGCACAGATAAATTGCGTGTGACTCGTGAACGGACTATGTCAAACTACTTTGAATCAAATGTCACACATTATTTCTCTGTTTAAAGTGGCTGATTCAATTTATAAGACCCAGTCTGAGAGCACACATGCCAGCTCTCTTCATTTACAAATTTTCCTTAGGGTGCCGATTTCCAAAGCAAAAATGAAAGACAGGTCCCATTATTCGAGCTATAAAGGTAGTTCAAGCTTGGTGATAAAGTTTTGGCGAAATATCATGCGTGAAAGCTTTCTTAGAATTACTAAGGAACATTAACGAATGTTTTCAATGTTTCTGTTTCAAACACACAAAAAGAATAACGAAAAGGGGAACTTTTCGTTTCCGACAATCTTAATTTTTACTACAGATGAACTAGTAAGCATTGATTGTGAAGCTTCTCTTCTATGAATGCAGCATGACAAACCTTACAATGGGAGCTTCCACGGCGATGAAAACCTCGCTGGAATACTCATTCGAATCTCCGAAAACTCCGATTTTATGATTGCGTTCTGACGTCGGATGAAAAATGGATTATAACTCTGAGGAAGCAAGCATGGATCTTGCCTTCGCAACACTCAAAAGGTTTTCATGGAAAAGGGGTCACTCTGCGTAGTGGAATAACGAAGAATTGGTGTGTTTTTAAGGACTCGATTTCGGCCAGATTTTCAATGTCGAAGTACACGCCCAACAGTGAACACGTGTCAACATGGCTCTTTGTTGTTAAGTTATTGAGTGAGAGCCTATCAAACTCCTCCATGATAATGCTCTATCACACGTTGCCAAGATTGTCCAGCAAAAAGTCGACGAGTTGGGCTGGACAGTTTTGCCGTATCCGCCGTATATTCCGGACCTAGCTCTTTCAAACTAGCATCTATTACGCTCGATTCATCCGGATTGACGGAGAAAAAGTTCAAAAATATCGACGAAGTCTATCGCGTCTAAATGTCTAAAGTCTAAGTATCTTGGGCCGCATCATTCTTTGATCCACAGCCAACCAAATTCTTTGAGGACAGCATCTTGTTGACAGTTGTGGGATATGGAAAGAATATAGTTTGGAATGAAGACTTGTTATAAAAATTTCGTGATGTTCGAAAGTTTTAATCGAAAGTCTCATTCATCCCCGAACAAACTAAAACAAGACCGGAGAAAAAAGATATTGAAACCTACATCGTTGGCGCTTTGCTTGAGGTGGATCGCATTCACCATTATAAGAGGTGCTGAGGAATGGCACGTCATCCAATTCCTGAAGAAACTGCAAGCATACCATGTGTCCCAGTATCTAGAGTTAGTTGAACTGAAGATGCCCAATCGGGCTAGAAATGAGCACCGCATATGGGCTTAGGTACAACGACAGTCTCGACATTAACGCAATTTTGGAATGAAGATGTTTCCAGGAGAACAATCAAAAATTTCACAGGAAGTATGAATTTGTACCGGATACTAGGATGACAAATAACTTCTGAAAAACGAAATTTCTTCGAGAAATTGATTCTAAAGAAAAATGAGAAAAAGCTGAGACATACTAGCAATTGCTCACTATGTATAAAAGGGAAAAATATTAGGGAGCTTTTCAGTTTTTTGTCTGAAGGATGACACCTACATATGAGAGATGTTTTTAATGTGGTGAAGAGGCAGTGGAAAGTCACACAGTTAGTTTCCTTCAATGGAGTTCTGGTTCGGATCCCAAGAAATATGTGATTTTATTAAGATGGTGTCAATTTATTTTTGCGTTGTGCGCAGTAAACGGTCAACTGTATTTGTAATTCCTCTTATTTTTTCTTCTCCTTATTTTCGCTAAGATTACTATTCTCATTACCCGTCTTCATTTCGTTCTATCTACATCACAGTTGTGATAGGATTGAGTTCAGCGAAGTCCTTCTTGATGACATTCTATCACCAAAAGTTGAAGCTTCTCGCGACCGCTTTCCGTGAGCTTCAAACTCCATTGACTTTCTTATTGGGTGATCCAAGAACTTCTCCGTTCGTGTCTATCTTCGCTTGCGCTGTTTTCTCATCTACAGGTGGGCGTGTGCTTTTGCAATACTACGCTGACGTTTGTTTCGATACTGGTCCAGCCGCGTTCAACCGCAGGCCCACCTCGAAATCCTTATTTCTGCTGAGCGATGTTTTTCCTCATGATTTCAACGAAGGAGTCAGTACTCACCCGTAAAGCATCGGAGGCCTCACTGCTCTGTATAACTTGTTTTCGAGCACTCCAGAGCACTCTTGTTCACCGGAATATCGCCACTCAGTCTATGCGCGTTTATTCGGACTTTCACAACCTGGTTCACAGCATCAAAAGCAGCCTCCAGATATCGGAGGTCCTGCCTTCTTTGATAGCTTCTCTCGTCAAGCTAAGGATAGGCTTAACGCCCTCATCATTGCTAATTTCCGCCACTTTGGCTGGAGCCACAGCCACGTTATGCCTTATGTGCAACGTATCCCAAAAATTTCCGCTTCTATCCACTATCAGAGCGATGTCATCGACTAAGGGGGTGCCCATTTATTCGTCATTACAAGCCTTTTTGTGACAGTCAGTGTTAGCTGGAAGAGGAAAGCACTTGAGGCCAACCCTTGGACTACACCATCCGAGAGTAGTTGTATTGTAATGATCGTGTCCTTGACCAAGAAAGTAATCTCTCTAGTTATAGTCAAACAATAGAATGTCAAATCTCTTACTAGTCTTGTGAGACGGTAATGCCCTTCACTTCTCAATAGACTCATCCTCGCCACGGCTTCCTTTGGAAGTTCTGTCTGGCCTAACATGAATCCTGTCGAAATACTTACCATAGAAGCCATTCACGTTAACCAATGCTAATGTCGTAGTTCTATTCGCATGGGCTTGCCGCTGTATATGGAAAGTATGCTGGATGAGACTACCCTGCATACATGTTGAAATTGGACTTTTATCTAAGTCTGCTACACAAGGAACCCGTCGCAAAAGGGATGGTTTTCCGTCCAATCGGAAGGTTTGAGAAGTGCGACCTCCTAAGAGTTTGAAGCATTGTCAGTCCCACGCACCTACTGAATGGGCTGGGCTGGGCTTCATGCAGATCTCGCGACGATGCAATTTCTACTGTAGCTTTCCTTCTAAACAATGGACGCTGTTGGGTGCGAACAAAAAAGAAGAGAAGCACTCGATAGGTCGGCTTCGTGGATTCTCCTCTACTCCGAAGTGGCCAGGAAGGCAGTTGCACACATATGTAGTATGGAGTACTCAATAAACAGAATTATTAAGGAACATGAAAAATTTTGAATAGCTGTATCGAGCTTTCTAGATCTAGACATTACTAATGACTAGATTTCTTAGGTTCAAATTTGATCAAATGTTCAGATTTCATCTGTTTCTCATCTGCAATCTACACAGTGGTCTTATGGTTTGTGAACGGCAAGAGATGCATTCTGGAGGAACTTAGCGAGGACGAATTGATGAGATGGAACTCAAAGAATTATTGCGAAAGTGCACTGACAATACATACTACATGACAGCAGCCTTGAAATTCGATTCAAGTACGACTAACCCAATTAAAATTTTACAAGTCGGTTCGCCCGGCCGGAACGGGTTTCCCTCCTTCTTTGACAGAGTTGTAGTTATCGGCTAATTCTCCATTCCTATTTTGAAACAAATAATAGTTTCCTGTACACGAAATTAAATGCAGGACTAACAGGGCAGTGCGAATGGTATTCAGTGAAATTCGGCGCTTACTTCTTTGATTGCAAGTGTCGATCGTCTGCTCTTTCTTGAAAATATATACCCATCAAAAGTCCAACTGTTAGACAATCAAAGATGATGCCGTGGAGATGTTCTGAGTGTTGATAGCACCGTTATCAGATGTTCTTTATCAATGGACCCTTTTCAATGAATGGATCAATGGAACTGTCAGACAACCAAAGCCTTTGGTGGTACTTACAAATGTTTCGAGCGGTGGAAATATAACTATCAGATGTCGTCATCAATGGACCCTTCACTTTACGGAGATATCATTAATTGAGAATTCAAAATTACTGGCGGTCGGTTAAGTTCTGCTGCAAATAATGTCGAACAAAGAAGATCCTCTGGGTAGCGTCCTTAATCTTATAGCAAGGAATGAACAAAATTATCATTTGCTTATCGTATTGCCGCTAATGGGTCCGTGTCACTGCACTTACCACTCACTTTTGTCACCCTACTCTACCATCCCGTCTTACAGAATAAACTGATTAGCCAACAGCCAAAGCAGCATCGTAAATACCGTAGGTTTAATCACTTTGACCGGTGGGTGACTCTTGCTCTCTTAGGCCCCTTATCTTCGTTTATCAGTTACTATCGGTTTCTGTCACGGATACCCACGATCCCGTCGTATCCTACACCACTTACTAAAATGCCGAGGTTCCGCTGTTAATACGAAAAGGAAATTCGAACTCTTCATGCCCAGGGGACAGGAGTTATGTGTTCCCGCTCAACCATTTCATTTATTTCGCGCGCGTCCCGCCCCCTTGTGGGCGAGTCCGGTCCTGACACCTGCCATGAGTGTTCCCATCCCGTCTTCTGTACTCCAACCAAATTTTAATGCTCTAGTTTCACGGGGACAGGAGTTATGAATTTCCAGTCGGACACACACACCGACACACACACA